GCAAGGAGCTAAACACAAGCAAATAGTTAGTTTCTTTCGAGATCTGTAGTTTTCGTGAAGTCGGATTTCGTAATTGCTGTAAGCTAAAGTTTTTTGAACAAAAAAATTTTTTTAAAAATCAGATCGGTGATGGCCGTCCTATGGGTAAAAGAAAAAAGGAGCGCTGTCATCGGAAAATGAACGGAAAGCGACAGTCAGCTCAAGAAAAACAGTTCTGGACAATACCATTCACTTATCAGCTTAGTTCCAAAACCAATATTTTTGGTAAGAAAAATGTACACAAATATTTCAGCACATTCCAAACTTACTTTGCAAATATATTAATAAGATTTTTTATTATTAAATTTTTAGGTGATCCAATAAGAGAATTCTGGTTACATAATAAAACTGTAGTGTTCACGGACAATAAAGAACAAACTTCAGCAGCACTTCTAGCAAATGTCAACTGGAAATACCCATACCGTGTCAACTATGATATTGAAAATTGGAAAATGTTAGCGAGACTGGTAAGAATTATTTGTCCAAAATTGCTAAAATCTGAAAAAGAAGTTTCTCAAAGTAATGAAATGAAAGAGGAATGTTTTAGCTCCGTGAAAACCATTTGTCCATACCGTTATATTCCCGAATACAATTGATACTTGATTCCGAATTCTATCTTAAACAGTCGACCGTTCCCGAACTCTATTTGTACATTCTAAGGTAAGCGTTATGTCATACATTCATGTTGGTTTTCGTTTTGGATGTTTTCGAAATTTCCGTCGGTGTTTGTAAAAGATCACTAAAGGAAATGTTTCAGCTATTTGACTAAAGAAAATGATGTTGGTCTTCTATTATTTGGTTTGGATGCATTATACCGCTTTTTCGATATGTTTCGCGGAAGTTCAATCAATAACTTGCTTTTGTTGTTCTTGAGAGAGGTTCAACAGGACCGTTAATATGATAATATTTCAGCTTCTGATATATTTTGATTCTATCGAAATCAATAAAACCTAAAATTAGTATATGGAATGACAATGAGGATGCCACTTATGACCAAATACAACTAGCCAATAGGTTCCAAATATCAGACAAAGTCCTGATTCATTTTTCAGTAAGAAGAAACAATTTAGGTGACTGAATGGCTTGATAAAGTAATGGATGATACGAAGACAAAACCTGAACTAGCAGCATTGTGGTTACTTGATGCTAACCGACTTATTCAATTTTATAAACTTCGATGTGCGGTGAATTTGTCAACTTGCGATCCAGAGGATAAGGTTTATTTTTTGCAGCATTAAATATTTTCACTTTAAATTCCTTCTCTTGAGATTCGATTTCAGGAAATTTAATTGTATTTCATTAATTCACAAATTTATAGGATTAGCATAATTCCAAAGTTCGTCTAGCAAAGACCAAATTTTTTTTACCCAGGTAGAGCAGTGGTTAAAATCAGGCGGTTTAACAGAAAGTGACCACTACTCGCAAATGACTGCTATTTGCCATCATTTGTTCACGAGAGGTACAAAAGAGGGATATGATTTGGTTGAAAATGGCTTGAAGCAGTTTAGCGGTAAATGGACAACTGCAATACAACTGGCAACATGTGTGCGCAATGAACACATTCTCAAGAAAGTTGCAAGTCAGATCATTGCAACACGAAATGCAGCCGTATATATAGCCATGTTGCAGGTAACTTGAATGAAATTACACATTTTGAGATGAAATGAAGTTTGATGAAAAAAGAAATGACACAAATTGTAATTTGAAGTGATAATATCTCAAGACTTCCAGTAGTCACGTAAGTGGCTAACATTTTCCGCTAATCTTTGAATGATGTATAATCAATATGAACTTTTCTGACATCTTTAAGAGAAGGGAAAATTCTAGGGATTTAATTTCAAGTATTGATGAATTAATCTAATTCATAAGTATTAAAAAAAAGATTCAAGAACAAAAATGGGAAGGTAATATAGCATGATGTTGGATTTTAATGCGGCGAGCTTCCAGATCTTGATGTATAACTTTAAGAGATAAAAAACACGATCTCCCTTTTTCCGCTTTAAATTTATTTCGCTTTCTGGTGATCAGAAAAGATCACCTTACTGTAGATAAAACATAATTAAGATTGATACCTTGAGTCAACAGTAACAAAAAGATCTTTTTCAAAATTTCAATTTTCTATCTAAAGCTGTAGAATGTGATGTGAGGAGATGCAGATCTTTGATATTCATTGTAAGAATGGTTTTAACAGCGAGCAATCGATCCACTCAAACGTTTTTCAAGAGAACGAAAGAGTAATGAGTAACGAAAACAATGTTATCTGCATATCGTATAGATTATGGAAATTCTTTTAAGTGTGATACCAAGAGGAGAACCATTTCATATTTTCATCATTTGGATTTAAAAATAATATTTAGCGAATATGTGAAAAGATATCAATTTACACATCATCATGGAGGAATATATACATACTTTCCTACTCGATCATCGCAAAAAAACATAAAACCTGGAATGGTAAACTGTAGCTGGAATGGACCATAAATTAACGAAATAACTTTGCATTACTCACAACTCAAAGAATTATGCTTATTTTGAATTTGCAGTGCAGAATAAATGCAACTCTTAAGAACTCTTGAGAGCCACATAATAACACATAATAACTATAATTGTTTTGTATCAATTTGATGTTTCTGTTGGATGCTCGCAATTTCCTGATACAAATAAATATTCCATAAGGTATATAGTGACCATTGTTGCATATATGTAAAGAAAAAAAATTTGCATATAGTTATTTTCTATAGTAATAAGAACAGTTGTGTTTTTAATAAACATTCCAAAACAGGTATTATTTCATTCAATCGTTTGTAGTTGCCTCATCTTACTTTATCGGTTTTATTTGTAAACCTGACTTCTACTTTTTTTTTTCAAATTAATGGAGAAAATTATTGCAGAATGAGTTCACACTACTTTACAATAAGAAATTTCGAGCATTATTTTGGAGGGAAATCGGTGCCATGCCACTGACTGAGCGTAAACTGTTATTTTCTATCGAAACAGATCAAACAATTCAAGTAGCTCAAACACTTGTACATTCGGTACGGTCGTCGATCGAATTAGAATGGTTGGTTAGTATTGTACCTGATTGGGGTCATTATATGAAGCCACATATCGATTATTTACGTCGCAAATTTCAATGGATCGATGAGATTGCTACGCCAAGAATTGAACATTTTTTGTTGAGAATTATTAAACAGCCCTAACGAAGTTAGTTATTGAACTATGAAAGCAAAGAATTCTCTGAGCTAGTAAATGCCACCTTTAAGCTGGTAGCTGAACAAGTTTAAAAACAAACTTGGGATAAAAAGTTGGAAAAGAGTGGAGATTTTTTTCTTGCTTGTTCAGCTGCTTACGAAGTTCTAACTGAATAAAAACGTAGAATCTTCTTCTCCAAAATGTAATCATTCAACCTACTCAAAAATTTGGGAAACAGTGCAACTCTGAGATTTTGAAGCGTTCAATTTGGCTGTAACTAATACTTCAATTTGATTCAAGCACCTGCTGGCATATTACTTCATAGTATTAGTGGTATGGAATTCATATTTATTAAACAGGTACAAACAAAATTTCATTCATATTCAGTTTTTAGTCAGGTGACATATGATATTGTATCTTTCAAAAAAATTCGATCTCATATGATTAATTTTCCCGAATGTAATAATATCCATGTTTTTGCGTCGTCGAAGTGTCTTGATGAGTACTACATGCTTTTAATAAATCTAAGTTAAACTGTTTCACTTCATTACATCATTAAAACTACTCGAAGCAGTCCAAATTACTACTAACAACTCGAGGACTCCATTTTAGCCCTACTTCATAAGCGAATGTATTCCCATACAGCTCTTATGAAACTTTCATGTCTTGCTACCTCTGCTATTCCTCACATCTCCCCAGATTCTTATCTCTATTTGTAGTACAGCCTTACACACTCTTCATACGACACATTGCCTCTATATTGGCATACTACTTCAAAACCGCTCCAGAAGTGGATTGGTGGCGCTTCTCGGACGGGGAGTACCGTTGGATGTGAGTATGTCATTGCTCTTGCCCAGTACAGCGGTGCGCAATAGACGTTCAACGGTTCAGGAAGTCGTCCGAGATTTCGATGCATTTAACAAAACTTTGGATGAAGTTAGTGAGGAGAAGCGAGCTACCGGTGGATTCCGTGAGTTACTTTCAAAATATACCTATCACTTTTGCTTACCTTCTCATTTCTAATTCCATGTGGCTAGAAAAATGTTAAATTTCCAAAAAATAATTTTTGTTCGTTTTTAGCTGTTTTCAGGAAGTGATACTTTGATATATGGGGACTATTAGCGTAGCTTTTTAGATCCAATATTATACGGTTAAAATCGACCAACGAAATCTTACACACGGTTAAAATCGACCCAACGAAATCTTAGAAACTGATTGATCAGACGATAAGTTACCAAAAATAGTTAATGTAAATTAAGAGAAATTTGAGCATAAGTCATGATAAGTCACCGTAAAAATAATTCCTCATCTCAAATGTTTGCTAAATTTATGAATAATACAGATTATATGAATACAATCTTTTTTTATTAGAAGTATTTTAATGTTGAATGTTAATCACATTCGGTTGCAGCACTTTGATCACTTTGATTTTAACTTTAGTAATTAAAAAAAATTTGAGCAAAGACTCATTATTTGTTTAGTAATGACTCTTTTGTATGGTTACTGCCAAATAATACTAATTTTGCAGTTGCAAGTTTATCATTTCTCATCATCGTAGTGTTGGTCTTTGGCGAGTTGAGGAATTATTTTTACGGTGACGAAGGACATTATTATAGATTCTCAGTGGATACAGCTTTCAATGAGTAAGCAGAAAATTTCTTACATTCCAAGTGTAAGGTTGATTCTTCATGTCAAGTTATTCGCTTTTTGGACAGAATTTAGAGATATATTACTTGCTTTTTCTTCGTAAATTCAGGCATCCTGAGTTGGAATTGGATATGATAGTTGCAACTCCTTGTACGAATTTGATGGCATACCTTACTGGTGTTGCCTCAAACGAATTCAATTCTGTGAATGAATTCAAGCATGATCCAACACGTTTCGAATTTACGGAAAAAGAAGCGATGTATTGGAATGAACTGAAAAAAGTACAGCTTCGTGTTAAGGAAGGAATAACCTTGTTTAAGAGTCTTGACGAAGTAATTCTTTCCGTTTTCGACACACCACATAGTTGAACTTTGGAACAAAAGTCCGCATCTCATTTTTTCTAATTGCTGAAATATCAGCAATACTACTGTCATCTTTCCTGACAGTACAGAATTTTCCGATGATAATTTGTCTCGTAAATTAGTTTCGACATTACCTTTTTTAAAATGTTTTGTACATTGTTGAGGTTCTGTAGATGACTTATGTCAGCGAACGAGTTGAGGAGGGTTTAAAAACTGAAGCAGAAGCAAAGCAACGTGAAGAAGCGTATGCGATACAGTTGGAAAGGAAAAATAACCCAAAACAATCTTTGGACGGTGGAACATTGATATTAATTGGAAATGGATTTAACGTATTTCATGTTGTAGCAAGTAAGCCTTATTTGAACAAACTTCAAAAGACCAAAAACAGTCGTAAAGAGTTATAACGCGCTTCATTTTTAGTCGCCAACTTTTTGTAGTATTGATTGGAGTTAAAATAGAAATAAAGCGCCTCTTAGTGTTCTGTAGTATCTTACTTTTCTTTCGGAAAAGAATACGGTACTAAGGCATAAAGTGTGATGTAAAACTGTGTCATTGCGGTAAAACAATCGAAAAATCATACTAGAGCTTTATTGAATCTTTCTTTTGCTTTTTTACAGAGAGAGATTTTAAAGTCATAATTTGAAATCAAGAAAATAAATTATGATACCGATTTTCCGGTTGCAGGTAACTCGGAGAAAAGTGAAGGCACTGCTTGCCGTATACATGGTCGCATGCCTGTCAACAAAGTCAAAGGTGATAGTTTTGTTGTTAGCACTGGCAAAGGCCTGGATGTCGGTGGTATTTTCGCTCATTTTAGTGGAATTTCTAACCGTAAGTTCTTTTATCTAGGTGTACTTTCTGAAGTAGATTACTGTGTCTTTCTGCATCTTTCGATTTAATTCTTATAATGTGTTATTTTGTTGATGCAGCAAATACTATCCGCTGGTGTCCTTCATAAAAACTCATCATTGGTCTTTTTATTTGGTCAAACAGTAGAGAATCTAATAATGATATATTACACCATCAAACCATTTTAAATAGTGAATTATTACTCTAGAATAAACTTTTAGCCACGAACGAATGCATTTATTTCTTTTTAGCTGGTAATGTTTCTCATCGAATTGAGCGGTTCAATTTCGGTCCCAGGATATATGGTCTTGTGACTCCGCTGGCTGGAATAGAACAAATTTCTGAAACAGGTTAGATTTAAGCTTAGTTGCATTTGTGGTCATTTATTTTTTGACTTTTTTCGTAAAAACACACATTGTTTAAAAGGAAAATTTTAATGCTTATCAATAAAATTTATTGCGCCTTGATACTTTTTTCTTTCTAACCTAGATGGAATATCTTTTACTCTTATATTGGTATGCTTCTTTCAGGTGTAGACGAATTTCGTTATTTCTTGAAGATTGTACCTACGAGAATATATCACAGTGGCCTTTTTGGTGGCTCTACTCTTACGTATCAGTATTCCGTGACATTCATGGTTTGGTTTTATAAGAATAATTTCGAATTACATCCATTAAAAACATTTTTGATGGAGATTTCAATTGAATAATTTCTAAACTAAAACTCAAGTTCATTAATGTGTTATTGGTTGCATTTACGATAGTTCTTTTTTTTAATGTTTTTTGAGTTATGACTTTCTGCTACAAGCTTTTAGATTTTTTCGTGTGATGAGACTGAAGGGGTTTGCTGTTGCAATAATAAATTTGATGTTGTTGTTAAATATAATTTTGCAGAAAAAAACACCCAAAAAAGATGTGCATAAGCATGCAGCTATCATTATCCATTATGAATTCGCAGCAACAGTCATTGAAGTTAGGCGTATTCAATCGTAAGTCTTTCATCTTATCTGGAGCAGTACATGAATTCATTTTTCTTTTTACACTATTATTTTTGTTAATGTTCTTCATAAATTTATTAAGTTTGCAGGATCTTCATGAATTCATTGAGTTCATTAAGTTTAAAATAAGAATCAAATAAAAAGCTTTTCAGCAGGCTAATAATAACCAGATGAAAAACAAAATATGTACTTTTTTTTTGCAGCTCACTACTACAGATGCTCGTACGTTTGTGTTCTGCAGTCGGCGGAGTTTTCGCTACAAGTGTCGTATTGAGTAGCATATGTGTACGTATATCAACTGTTTGGATAAGTATGTCGAAAAGAATAATGAAAATCCGGTCGATCGATTCTCAGTTAGGAATTGTACAACCTCAGGTTGTTGCGGATACTTAATCATCACCAGAAGCATGATTGTTTATTTTTAAAGTATTATAAATGTATGGTTGATGAAAGCACTGTTTTGCAAATAAAAAGCCAGTCATTAGTGTTAAAACCAATTTAACTCTCATTAACATTGTCGATAGTTTTCCAGATTGAATCTCAACGTAAGATTTGCTGTGTAAAACAAGTTTATGTCATTAGAGGTTATTCATACATTGCTATAAGATCAAGCAAGTATTACTCATAAAAACGTCCATGAAAATTGAAGTATTATTTTTGATTGTTAAGATTTCGTAAATAAAGTTGCTCTTGCGAACTGCAAAAATTGCATCCGCTTCAATTTAATACTTTTAATTTCAGACCAATTTCAACATAGTTCACATTTTACTGGTCTTTCCATGTTTTTTTGAGCCTTTTCTTGATTTTTAATCTTTAAGAGGACCATTTTGGACTAAAACATCTATTCCATGCAAATTTTTGGTTGCCTTCTTTCGTAAATTAGTTGTTGGGAATAAATCTTTTACATTTATCTCCCTTTATTTATAATGCTGGTCTGTAGGATGAGATTAAACTGGAGGTGAAAGAAAGAATACTGATGTGTTCGAAAAATTTTCAGTTTGATTTAAAAGGCTTATATATCAAATTCTGTTGAACAAATCAAGTTGGTTTGAGGTGAAATTTGAAGCAAAGTATGTAATTTCCGTTGTATCGAAAAATAGCATTATCGCAGTTGTTCAGCTGCAATATGTGTGGTATTGCTGTGTGAGTGCAGTGTTTCGTTATGGGTTTTCTTTGTCTCACTCTCCCGGTGCTTCATAATGATCAGTAAAAAATGTCTTGCAAATTATTAATTGTAACATGGCCGTTATGCGGGAAAGTTACTGCATAAATCACTGGCAATAATTTTCGCTTTACTGAGTGTTGTTTTCCTTGTGATTTCAAGGAAGTAGTTTAAGGGCAGTGATAATGTTCCGTTTCCGTAAAATCCTGTCAGGAAGTAATATTTAAGGTGTTTCATGAAAATATCGTACCATTTGAGGCTGTGATGTTTTGGAATTAAATAGCTGGTGCCATTTGCTTCTGCAGATGTAGATTTCAGGTAGAACAAGAATAGAATTCCTAAGGTGATGTATTTGTATCGGAAGAACTACCTGGTCTTTGTTTTACGAAGCTTTTGTAAGATGATTTTTTCTTTTTGATGAAGAGCTATTTTCGTTCAGAAGTATGGACTAATTGTAATTCGAACATAAAACTTATGGCCTTTTCAATAGCAACCTGGACTACTGAAACGTAAGGTTTGTGGAAAGTTTACTAGCCAACCAATCGGCATACTGACCACAGTAAACAGAAAATTGGTAAGACTCGTGTATGTCGAAAAGTAGTTTACATAAAATATAATGATGGAGCAATAAGAAGTTTTTACAACCGTTCATCAAAATTTGCTTATTCAGTTGTAATAGATACTAGGGACATTTTCCGCGGCACTTTGCATCATTTCCTCACCAATTAAAGATGATAATTGATATCAGAAATTTTCGGAACAGTAGGATTGTTTCAGCACTTGTACTTCAGTCATTAGCTGGTACACGTGTAAATATCTTCTCAATGGAATGAGAAGTGCCACTTAATTTGAAATGGGTCTGCTACTGCTACATTTTAACGGGGTGGTAAGTGCTATAATTTAGACTTTTACATATTTCTGGTTGCTGCAGTAGTGTGAAGCAGAGATTAGTAGAAGTCTCATGTACCATGGTGAAGAGAGTTTGTTAAGGCAGTATATTGTTTTATAATATTCATACGATTATGAAATTTTTTGCAATGGAAGAATTATAAGCGCTTTTGCACCGTCATTTTGGCTTGATTTTTTAAATCTATTCCTTATTCAGTTTTCAGGCATAAGCGGCTGTTTCAAACGAATTGAATTGGTTGGAGCGATTGGAAGGTGATATCATCACGTTTAACTGCTATGAAATTTAGGAAACCTCAACATTCATATGACGGAAAATCGTGTATGCATTTTGCATTTCTTTCATTTGCAGGTCCTTTACTTGATAGGCTTTATATGTTAGAATCACATTCGATTCAGACCCCGAAAGTATGCAGACCTAAAAATATTAAGCAACAATTGGTTGCTAGATTAAAAAAAGAGTATGTGCCTTAACCGATGCAATAAAAATATCGCTTCACTGATTTCGCCTGTTGCATCTATCCATATTAGGTTTTCTATGGTATATGGTTAAAGTAATGTGGATGGGGTGATCACACATAATTGATTTTCCACTTCTAGTACACTTCATTACAAAAATTAATTCATTGGTATGAGTTTTGATGTGTCATTTCGTATACTATGTTGTGATCATATACTATGTTGATTGAAAAAAGGATATATGTTATCTTTCATTCTCGTTTCATTGATATTCTCTTCATATTCCGCTATGAAATACTACTGATCTTTTGCTTAAGTTTTCGAATACCTCTTTACTTTTGGCTGCTTTGCTTCAATATCTTTCAGGCTTTTCCCCGAATTATGGTCTCTGTGTGGTTAGGATTTTACTTTATCTCCCTCTTTTTTGCTACATACAAACTAAATTACTGATTTGATCTTCATTGAGTATTTTGTCAGCTCTAGTCTTTCAATGTTTTCTTAGAAAGAGGACTTTGAAAGATAATTTTAGAAACCATTTGAAAGACTTTTGTTTGTAAATGAAAGTCTGGGATAAGACAAATAGACAAAAATTAATCCTTTAGCTGTGCTTCTTGTAAACATACCATTTAACATACATCATTTTTTCCTTGTTTTAGAATATGGGTAAAGCAAAAACATCAAACTCTAGTCCAAGTTTTGCGTAAGTTTTTTTATCGTTCTTCTCTGCTTAGTTTGGGTTAGCCTAGGATTTATTATTTCGTGCGTGGTGTCTGGAGAATGAGTTTACTATTCATTTCAACCTTCATTACTGCAGACTCCATAGTAAATTTCAGTTAAAAAAAATAATCTGATTAATTCCTTAGATACCTACCAAAAATCATAAATGGCGGAATCGCTGGTATAATAGGCGTAACATGCGTTTTTCCGATTGATCTAGTAAAAACTCGTCTCCAAAATCAAAGACTTACTAGTGATGGGGAAATTCAATATAAAGGAATGTGAGTTCATTTTTTGTTTCTATCTTTTTTTTATCTTTTCATTAGTGAATAACAATATTATAGAGCATGTTTCACTGATAATTAAATTAGCAATTAATACAAGTAATTCCATTATCTCTTTATGAGTTTGAAATTCAGTAGCTTTTATTAATCTCGTTTTGAAGAGAATTTTTTTAAGAATGGACTGTGCAAAACAAACGTGGCGTCTTGGAGGGAAAAGTGTTTTTGCAAAAGTGCGAGGAATTTATTCTGGAGTTGGAGTGAATTTGTTACTTATAACTCCTGAAAAGGCTATAAAACTAGTTGCAAATGATTTTTTTCGGTTTCACCTTACTGTACCACAACAAGAACAGTTGCCTCTAATAAGAGGGATGATAGCTGGTGGTGGAGCAGGATTTTGTCAGATCATCATAACGACACCAATGGAACTTCTTAAAATTCAAATGCAAGATGCAGGAAGAACGACAGGTACGTTTTGTTTGGTTAGTTGAAGGTTTTATCTTCCAGCTTTGGAAGCATTTTTGTTTTTAAATATGTGGCTGTTTCGGCTTTTTAAGGGTAGATGGAAAAAGATCGTTTAAGGTCAACGGGAACCAAAAAAATTGTCTGCAGTTGGTTTGACGATGGATCTGTTGAGAGAACGAGGTATTTTTGGTCTTTATAAGGGTATTGCTCCAACAATGGCTCGTGATGTCTCATTCTCCGTCTTATATTTTCCGTTATTTGCCTATCTGAACAGTTTGGTTAGTATGATCTTTCATTCTTGGCAATCTTTTAACCTTTTATTGTCTTTGTTTGTCATTTTGCCTTTAGTAATTTTATTTTATTTTATGCTGTAATTTGCATTTTTTGATTTTTTTTGAATGTTACTTGTTTCTAGGGTCCTCTGTCTAGTGATGGAAGCGGAGACAGTGTATTTTACGCTTCATTTTGTGCTGGTTTGACAGCAGGTGCTTTCAGTTCGTTTGCTGTAACGCCATTAGATGGTAGGTTTGATAGATCCTGTGTAAAATTATTACAGTTCCTTTGCGGAGGGTTTAGCTTCAGTGATATTTCGTTGTGTTCAAATGTATTCCTTTTACATTTTCATACCACCCAAGTAGTTATTCTGTTAGAGATTTCAGTAATCAAAACTCGCATGCAATTGATCAATCGTAATGAGGGTGAAACGGAATATCGGAACATCTATGATGCTTTCTCGTATGTTTCTGCTTCAAATAATATGCTCAAATTTGTTGCACATTTTATTGCCTTTTAATTTTTTCGAACAAAATGGTTTTCTAGAAAAATATTACGACATGAAGGTCCGCGGACATTATTTAAAGGTGCGGTATGCCGGATGTTGGTAATGGCTCCTCTTTTCGGTATTGCTCAAATGGTATATTATATAGGAATTGCAGAATTTTTACTTGGTACTCCAAAGACTTCTCATTAATTCATCTAATTTTTACTTAGAATGCATCTCAGTTCATTTATGGATGTGTTTTTGCTTTTTCTTGCATTCCCATCTGTTATAGGTAATGTTCCTCGAAAGATTGAGTAAAGATCGTTGAATTTGTTGTGCACAGTGATTATTACTTGCATATCGTCTTGTTTAGTGGGTCTGGTTAATGCCATTGTTAGGAAATAACGGAAAGTGAATTTATACATTGAAACGATGATATAAATCCTTATAATTGTTGTATATGCACTTATCGACTAATTTTATTAGTCTTTTAACCTTGTTATGATAGCTTCTCTATCGAGATGCCTCGAAGTTCTCTGAAGCAGCTAAGAGAGTGCCTCATTGTTTACCTATAGCGTTTTGGCCATTATTGCTTTAACCGTAGCTGATAATCTTAAAAAAGCGTGTTGTCGTGCCTTATCACCATGTTAAACACTTAGTCTTGTTTTCATATTTTGTTTAATTTTTTGGTGACTAGTAAGCTTATTTCGTGATGGTCGAGAGATCAGTTCGACAACGTCATTGAATGATTTAATTCTAGATTCAAAGTCTTTTTTTTATTAAGAATAAGTCTTCAACCAATCGATGTTCAAGAAAATCTGCAATGTCTCTTGAAAAATCTGTGTGTTCATGATATGATAAAGGTGTTTGAATATAATGTGAAAAGATTAGTTGATAATTAGGACATCTTATACCTATTTCTTTTGTATGCAAACGTTTTAAGAGAATTTCGGGCCTAGAGCTGGCAAGTAGTTAGTGATATTTCCCGCGAGATGATCCTTAATAAAAATTTCGATGCATACAGTTGTCACAAATATGAAACGTACAACAACTGGTTTAAGTTCTACTAAAAATTCTAGGTGGGACCAACTACATCGCAGGCACAATTTTTATAGAGGATGCCAGATTCGATTCTTTCGAAGTTCTGATTCTTGAAGTCAGTCCTCGAGTTATACAAGTAATTGATTCCAATGCAAATTTAAGACTTTATAGGCCATAACTTAGTGACTTTGTGTTTTCATTTAAAGATGACTTTGTTCTAGAACTGATTTACACCTCTTTCCGTAGCGGAGCGGCTATGGATAGCTGTGAAATTGTGGAAATTTTTTTTTACTTGTATTGCATTTTTTTTCCAACACACGAAAAATGAATTATTTTGGACATAAGATGGTCCTTTGTGGCTTATTTTTCTAAAGTTAATAAAACAGTTAGATCAGCTGTTGAAAAGATCTAGAGGGTTGGATACATGAATTTTGTGCGTTTTCAAAGACTGATATGTGGGTGATAGCGAATGTGCATAATTAACGATATCTTCATTATATAAAAATTTCCGAAATAGCATATGTTATGGAACATGTGTGGATGAAAAAAAAGAGGAATAAAAATTGGGAAATTGTCTAGTGTTGTTAATCGTGCCTTTTCAGGTAAACACGTGATAATTACAAATAAATGTTACTGACTTTTGCTCTTTTAAATAATGATAGTTGAAGAATATTGTGAGAGCTGTTTTTTAGTTGGTTGTTTTTCCAATAATTTCTGGTTAGAAGATTATTATGCTTATAATTTTAAACAACATTAGGTTGATAAACCCTCTAGAAATCGGTCTTAGGTCTCGTTTCAATCCATTCCTTGATTTTTGGTAATTTCATTATTCGATCCTTGAAATGATTCAAATGTGTTAGTTGAGTTGTTGAATTTGGAAACAGTGAACCAAAGAGTCCAACTATGCATAACATGTTCAAATCTGCAGCTGTCAACTGTAAAAGTTGAGTTGGTAAGTTTTTATTGACCTTAAAAGTAATAATTGCTCATACCACAACTTTTAAAGGTAAGGCCCACTTTGGGCGCAAAGTCTGACATGTTTTTGCTAAAAGCATTTTGTTTTGAAGTTTTGCTCAATTCTGTTAGTTCGTACTTTTGCAGTGATTGTTTAGAAATCCAATAAATGTAGGTCTTTTTTATGATTTTTTATGAAATGTAGATCTTTTTTTATGCTAAAAAGATGCAACAGAAAGTCGTTTTTCCAACCTTTTTGCCGACAAAATAACCAGTGTTGTTTTTGGCCAGGATGCCTTCCAGTCGTCTGAATGTTGGAATTAGGTGCTGTGTTTCAAATTCAGCCATTAGTTCCTTCTGAAAATTATTGTGAGTAAATGAATCGTTTAAAAAATAAAAAATGTATGAAAGATCTTGCAGAGATCCATGAGCATTGTCGTATCATTTTCATCAGCTGCAAAAAAGTACTACTGATGGGTTTGTAAACAGTATGTTCTCTATAATCAGTCTAAAAACAAATGGTTATACTGGAATCAAAAACCTTTTTAGCAGCATCTTCGCATTTATACCATGGCGCTATATGTCTTATGAGATCTGTTGCTACGCTAAACAGTTCTTCCACCTGGGCAAATTCCCAGTCGTTTTCTCCAACCAGATCTTCAAGTTTTCTGTTTTATTTATAAAAGTAGTAAGTTCGAGATTCCCAAAATTTTTCGGTGAAAATTTTATTTCAGCTCCATAATCTTTGAAAGGGAAAATGAATTTTCATAATCTTTGGTTTAATACAATGTGATTAATTTAATTTATATTAAAATGAAAAACATTGAAAACTTTAAACACTAAATATGCATTTCGTTCCATAAGGAATGCAAAGCTAACCAAACTTTTTAGCAAGATACAGAGCGATTGCAGTAGACTGAGATAACATTTTACCATCTACTTCCAAAACTGGCACTTGTTCAAATGGCATCTCTGAATTAAATCAATATAATAAATGCATAATTTTTACTGAAAAGAATAACTGATTTCGTACAGCATAAATTGTTTTTGAAACTCCACTCACTCACTTGGCTTGTATTTGGTCGGCCAATCTTCTTGTTGGATCCGAATATCTTCATAAGGAATCCCAGCTTGTGCAAATATCAAGCGGATTATCTCTGCTCGCCCCATCATATCAAAATAATACAATTTGTAGGATGGCATTTCCTTTCTAGTCAGTAAAAATTCTAAAACACTGGAAGCAGCGGATTTTATTCAAAAGAAAGTGTAGAAACATTCAATAAATTGCACTATTCGACTTCCAATTCATATGTGTTAGGCACGGACGACGTATTAATTATTCAAATATGTCAAATCCTGAACATTTTGCAATCATGTTAAAATTATTTCAAAGTACATAATTTAAACATCGTCAAATCGAATTTCTGTCGTGCTGAAGCACTTGAACATTAATTAATCTCTTACAAATTCAAGCAGCAGCTGATGTTCATGGCTAGCATTATCAATTTAAGGAGTCATCAAAAATAAATTCTCAGAAAATTCAATTTGAAGAAGAAAAGATAACATTGACAGGTAAATGAAAGCGCTCTTCTATACTCGGCTGAATTATGGTCTTTCAACTCCGCCAAGATAGAAGTTGTAAAGCTGACAGTCTTTCGTTTAACTCAAGGTCCACGAATTATAGCAGATGGGTTGAAAAGAAGAATGGCGGAGCAGTCTCCCATATATACAAGTAAAGAATTAGATAACATAGGGAAGATGACGAACTGCACTGATTATAAAGTCTGCAGCAGACACACAAAAATTAGACGATGGGAAACCGGCTGGAAGAAATGAATTATAATTTGTCCCGGTGGTGTTGGTATTTTTATAGCATTAAGACGTTGACTACATAACGTTACATAGCGTTATTTTAATAAAAAATACTAATTTTTAATGTCATTCAACAATATAGCTAACAAACGGATCGATCCCAAGCCAAATCGTTGTTGACCTTGAAATGCTCAATTCATATCTCTATTTCTCGTTTCTCAAAACTTCTTGCTATTAACAACTTGCATATATAACTTGCTGAAACTTCGTTATCGTTATATAACACGAAGGTATCTGAATGTGTAACATTCCAGAAAAATATTTAAGTGTTCATGACAAACAAAACAAAACAAAAAAACTCTTAGAAATACCAGAAAGTGCTCATAGATAAAAGGATCATCACATGTTTAAAAGTCAAACGTAGAAAAATAATTCCTTACACAACACTAAATATTTGCTTTTCTAGCCACTAATATTAAGTGACTTTTTTTAAATAATATTCTCTTCGAAACAATTTATCTTGAAACGGGTTGAATGTATTATATACCAAAAAAAGCTCAAAGGAACTATTGGTTGTAATGTACCGTTCAGATGTTCAAATGAAAAGCAATAGTTACGAAAGAGTTTAACGCAACACTGAACTGGTTTATGATTCTTAAATCCTGTTGTATGTAAATTCTTCTCGCTACATTTGCAGAACTAATGAAAAGGAAAGAATAGTACAGGACGGAGCAGCTATAACTAAGCCATATAACAAAGTCTAATAATAAATCTATCGAGCTCTAGCAGATAGAAAATGATCACTAACAATTTATAGTCATTTAATGAAACGACTTGCATCCATAATTTCAAAAATTCCATTTATAATAACCTGTTTAGTAGCCTTTGCAATAGTTTTTTAGTTCGTTCATTCATTTTCGTTATCTTGTTTCTTATTTTAACTAGATCAGTCACCACGATTTTTGAGTTTGATAGAATAAAGTCCTTTTGTAGTTACATCAGTTGGATTAAGTTTCGCTTACAATATAACGAAATGAGAACCTCGAGTCGATTTTGTACAAATCTTGATAATAGACGGTAGGGATTTTGTATCCAATGTATTTTGAATCCAATTATAAGATTACTTGTATTTTTTCCAGATCCAATTGCTTTATAACGAACTGTACTGCTCCAACACTAACTAATATCGCCAATAATCTTAACCCCTGTATAGTTTAGTTATGCCTTTGATAGAAGCGATTCAAAATTTTGCAAAAATCAGGAATATTTCCGCTCCTTGAATTACATATACGACATCACAAATATGGTATGATTGAAAAATCGATGAAGACATGAATTTGCATGGGCTTCGAGAAGTGTATTGTAGAAGGTAGCAGTTCCCTTTCATTTGTTGGTCATTCGCATATAAACGATTCCCACTTTCATTATCTCTTCACTTATGGACACTCCAAGAATTATTCTTCTTCCAAAAATTTTTAAGAAATATCTTGAATTGTGTCATTGTCTCAACCAGAACCACACTGGATCCTACTGGAAAGCCACACATTGTAGAACTCTTCACTCCAAGGTTTTGAAAAGTTATTTGGATGAAATTTTTGGTGAGGTTTTAGTAATATAAAGCTTTCTTAATCTGACTTACTTTTACTCGACCCTATTCGAGAACTTTTGAATTAAATTCCTCGTCGTTTAAAAGAATTATGTAACAAGCAACATCAAAACAAAGTTTCTTCCTGATTTCTAAAACAATTTCGCTTCTTTGAGTCTCCAAGAGGTAATTAAAAGTAGCTGATGGTAAAAAGAGGGATGGTATTACTCTTCAGACAGAATTCTTCGGAAATGATAACATTTTACATTTTCTTCCGTTACTTGTCTCGAATATCCTTTAAGCAAAGCAATGCTGCACAAACGCCTTTTCAGTACCGGTTACCACTTTTTCTCATTTTCTCATTCGGAAATGAGGCAATAGTCCTATAAGTCTGGGAGGGGAATCGGATTGTTGTAGGATATCAGTTACTTTTCATTCAAAATAAGCTGAAGCATCATAAACAATCCTTAATTTTGTTGTAGTTTTGCTGTTATGAAATTATAACTTTGTGACAGGCAAATAGTGAATAACACCAACTTCGCCCAGTCCGGCACATACCTTTTTATGTTCGATCATACTTCATCATGAATTATTTCACTGTATTTAAGAAATAAAATACTCATCATTTTGAAGTAGTTTGAATAATAATTTTAGACGACCGAAACAAGAAACAGATTTGTCGCCTAGACTAATCTTTAATTCTTTCAACAATCAAGAGATTAATATCTTCTATCACTTTCAATGATGTTCCTTTTAAACTGTTCTAATGCTTGCTCGTCATCATCAAACATTATTAGGTTATGCCCGTATGCCTATGGGTTCCAATTTCCAGAATCGACCTAATGCTTGGAATATTAGCGGCATTAGCCACAATTATTAATTTGGCTTCAGTAAGAACTGTATCAAATTCGGTTGGGCCATTACTTCGTTAGAACTGTGGAATTCGCTTATGATCCACTGCAGCCATCGTAGATCAAATGTTGAATACACTTGGCTTCGATAAGCATGTCAGGCTGCCTCCATTATCTTCTTTGTCATCTAACTAGTCTTGACCTGCCACAAGTAGCAAATCGTAATAGTTAAACTTAATTGCTTGCATTTCATATGTCAAATGATCTACCACATTGGCTTCGAGAGTTATAACATCCTATGGTTCTTATTCCGATTTCTATTTTGGTAATATGATTTAGGAGTGCTATCGCCAAATGAGGCAAATTTCATCTTTTCATTTTTAATTTCTTCTAATTTCAATCGATTTACTAATTTCTTCGATATGAAGGATAATTGCGAACCGATAACAAATAATGCCAAAACTTGAGTTTTTGGCATATTTTGATTGATTACTTCGCTTTCCTTACATCAAGTAAGACTTCCTTCTCTTGTCTGAAAATCGAAATATTTTATAAGAATCCCGTTGAAATCCCACGTACTTTATATCGTAGAAATCTGTACTACAAAGACTTTTTTAATAGGCCAAATTGTGCTACAAAGATTGTTGTCTCTAATTCTCTTCGTTTCCTTGTCGCTTATCTCGCTATCTAATTTTTGTAGGCATCGCTTACTTTGCTCTCTTTTGTCCAAAAGCAGAAGGAATATAAATAGGGCGCTTCGAATCGGTCCAGGACGTTGTGACATTCTCTATTATCTTCACTGCTTCTTCATCATTCCGGTTTACCTCCAGAGAGATACTTCTTCTATCAGTATTACCAGAAGTATATCAATTATGCAACATAGTTATCGATTCTATTCAAAATATTTTCGAGTAACTGTCCTAAAATGTTCTTAATATTCATTTCGTCAATTGATAAACCTTTATCAGAAGTACTCGACCGTGCCACAACATAACTTTCACTACAAATTTTGATGCCACGAACTGGAAGCATGTCAACTAGCTTAGTTAAAAGTGTTCAACCAACACTAGAAAAGCTAAAACCATTCCTCAAAGAAGCATAAAAATTAGACTTATTGCCAACCAAGCAACAACTATCGGAAGAATATATTTGCTGTATGAAACCCGAAAACGAACTGTCGAAGAAAAATTAAGCGAATTGAGCAATATGTTGGTATTCTTAAATCTATCAACAATGACTGACCCAAGTATATTCAAGGAATCATGAATGTGCAAAAAAAAGAATGAAGATCAAGAAAAGGTATTTTAGGATTGCTAAGTCGAAAGAAAGAAGTTAAGTTATATATTTGAAGTTATGAAAAATGACTACAAATCAGCAGTTCATCACTTAAGACCAAAATACACAATTCAAGATCTAAGAAGACGTTTTGGGGGTTATGATATTGCTTCTAGAATTTTGATGTCATAAAAAAAGTTTACTTAAGAAATTTATCCATTATTAAAATATTATATGTAATTATATTATATAATATTATATTATATGCCGAATTACAATGTCAGACGAAAGAATCGGACTGGAAAGTAATTACAGACGGCTAGAAGCAATCGGCGGAAATTTAGAACATTGTAGCATCGAAACCTTCATAGAAAGTAAATTACCACGTTGATACTATATAAAATTTACTAACAAAAGGGAAAAAGAATCACAGCCGCAAGAAAAGTTACAAGAATATACACTATTCCTATGAATGGGTAGCAGTTATATATCAATCAATACAAACCTCGTGCTTATCAAAGATGAAATAATCTCTTATGGAAAAGGGCTAGAATCGGATTTTCACAACGGAGAGCATTATAATACGCTAAGCGGAAAATGTACAACCAGTATAAGTAAATTGCTTAGAAAATCGCGAATTTTGATATTCAAGTACATGGAAATCATATTATGGATAAGCTCCAAACCTCATTAGTTTTTAACAAAGAAAGTAAAACAAGCACGATAACGATGTGAATTTGACTGACGGAAATTCAATCAAAAATCAGAGTCGAAGAGCATTACAACGTAAATTACAACATTAAATTACTCAGTACAACGTAAACTCAAATTCTGCTTCAAAGGTTCAAGACGGAAATAAACCCTAAAGAAAGGCCCGATCCAGAAAATATAAAACTTCAATATGTTTTCGCCGACCTACAACGAGAGTTTGAACGACAATTAAGCGCACTATACCAAATGAGTTGCCAAAACAGGAATAACCTCATATTACTAATTGAACGGCTGTCAATTAATTCAAATTTAGCTGCAAAACCGTTACTAGAAAGAGATGATATAAGATGATAAAATATCAAGAAGAGCCGAAGGAAAGCTTTTAATCGCTCCGTGCAAATACAAAAAAATCGATCCGAAAATTGTCGAATTCAAGTAGAATAATTAGATTCGGGTAGAACTGGATATTGGTCCAGAAGCAGGAAACGATAAACCCAGTGTCTAACCAACAAAAGATGGGAGGAAAGTCAACAAAGAGGTGAATTAGCTGGAAAATGAGAGTTAATACCAGAATTAACAGAATTTGCGATACAATGGTAATTGATCATGCAAGTATTTTTATAGTTCAATCATAATAATTGCCATCAAGAAGAAAATTGATTTAATTCAATCTAATTTTTGCCCATAATGTATTACAACTTCGAATTAAAGATAAATTTTTCCTATGGAAATTATACAGACTCCTTCGTCATACAACGAGCGACACGAAATATCTATTAAATAGTTTAAACTAAAGAGACAAAATACTTTTCACTATAACCCCAAATTCTCCCTCCTAATGGTCTTGATTGCCTTAAGTTGGAAATGTAGGGATAACCGAAATATCTTTATAATATAAATATATTGAAATAATCAAAATATTTTTGCATCGTAGAAATTTATACTATAAAGAATGTTTTATTTGAAATATTTCTTATTGAAATGATTCACTACACAAAATAAATATAAAATATATATCACGATACCCAAAACAACGAACTGTTTATCCAGTTAACATGCAAATTCCTCAATTTTATGGTTTAAAGTGTCGCAAAATGTTAAACATATTCTTTATTGTTTCTTAGCTTTCGGACTACATATAATACACTTCAATTTGACTCGAGGAGTATTATCACCTGCATCTCAATTTTTACTAAACTACACTCTGAATAATTCCTCACGATCAATAAAAAAGATCAACCTAGTGATCAACTTTACCCGTGATATTTTCTGTTTAGACAAAGACAAATACCGTTATAACGTACAAGAAGAAAACCTCCAACAATCTATAAAACCTCAACTATTTGTCTCTGCCAATCACCAAAAATTTCCATAATAGAGTTTACTGCTATACTAATTTGATGAGAATTATTTCACTTCCGTCAAAAACTTTAACTGGTGGGCCAAAATAATTGACACCTGCTGAAACATAAACATATGTTTGTGTAACCTTATTATAATAAAGACCACGGAAATATGCATTCCAAAAATACACCAGCGGTACGAATACATACATCTGCCCGGCATGTGTGTGACCTAAAAAGTGAAACATTTCAAAACTGGTCTGCAAAGTCATCCTCACTTGTTAAAAAATTAACGCTGCTCATTACTAACCTGACAGAATAAGATCAATGTTTTTAGCGGTTTCAACGTCATTCAGTATTATGCGAACAGCATTAGGTTGGTGAATGAGCATAATTGTTGTATCATTTTTGTTGCATCCTCGTAATGCTTTTTTGTAATCCATTACATGTCCAGCAAGTCTACAAAAGTTGAGCAGACAATCTTCAAATACGCTTTCGTAACATTGAAGATGGCAACAAAATATATTTGACAATCTCTTAAATGCTCTCTTCATTCGTGTCCCATACACAACACACATATAAATTATAATTAAATTATTCGGTATAAATCATCATCGTGGTAAATATAATGTTGATAAAACAGTAAAATGACATAACAGCCAAAAACAAGAGATAAATTCAAAACTCCAAAAAATAAATGAGAAATGCTATAACCTCGAGTGTTCCGCAAACAAATCATCGGCACCAGCAATGCAAATTCTGGAATTTCCAATCAAAATTTTCTCGTTTTTGTTATGGAGGGGTACGATTTCGATTTTCTTTAAAAATACGAACCATTCATCAACATTTCCATGAAGATATTCATGGTTGCCTATAACTGGGACTCACTCCTCTCCTTCAAATAATGATTCAACAACACCATAAAAGAGCCCTTCCTGATATATCGTTGAAAAAAGAACATTTAAACATAAGCAACAGAAAAATTTGCTATCATATATATTCTTCACCTGTTACAAAATATATGCCATATTTTGAAGTTAGATTCATTAAAGGATAAGCAGCTTTTGCCAGATTGCGCACAAGACCATCCGCAAGATCGCCAGATATAGCTATCATATCTAAAAAAACACTAAGACAATATACTGTGAGGATAATTTTGCATACCAGGGATCTGACAAATGAAAAAAGATCAGCGTACCCGGTTTGAAGGGGTTTATAATATCCACCATCTTCTGGACTTTTGAACGTCCAACAGTTGGTCCAATATGGAGATCAGATAAAAGAGCTATTGTAAAGTCTTTTTGCGCCTCTGGTAAGTTTTCGATTTCGATTGTAACACGACGTACAACAGGTGGTAATAGAGCAACCCAAAGGCCCGCTAAAACGAAAACGATTGCCAATACAACAGCAAAAAGGCGATTTAAAAGCTCATTTGCTACCAGCAATCTGAAATTTACGCGATCGTGATTTACTTACAGTGAGACAAGTTCTATAACACTATACCCATGAAATTTGATTTCAAAGTGAAGCATAATTCAAGCGTAATAAAGAGAATCTATACATTAATTTTAAAATATATAGACAAACTAGGATTGTTTTTAATAATCGACTGATCATAATTAAAACAGGATTACAACTAAACCTATGAACTGAACAGAGCTAGCAACTCAGGATAATCATGAGTGCAAAAGGTTATCCAGCACTCGCTGCGGAGAAATTAAATCCAAATAAATGAATTCCTTATTTTATATAGTATGATTTAAATATAATGATCCAATAAATGTAAAATAAGAACCTTATGAATCTGAAGTGCTTTGAATCCATATGTAGTATAAGACGGAATACCGATTGCATTAATAAAAAAATGAATAGGAAGAATATAAGGTATATATACACTGCAACCGATGTTAGTGCAATCATTGCAAATATATTTGGTTCTTCACCAATCCAAAGATAGTAAAATATCGAACAGATATGTGCAAGAAATAACAGAAGAATTATAGGAACCTGAAGTTATCGCTTACAGAAGTTTAATAATTATTCAAAGTATGGCGAGTTTCGTAAAGTGAAGGAGTCACCAAGATCTGAACAGCTTTGCCATGCATTTCTGCAGGTTTTTAATGAAGGTGCGAATGGATGCTATCTACAGTCATACCTGGGCAGCTTCCTTTTGCCAAACCACTCCAACTAATTTATTTGGTGATTAGACTATCTGCCCTTGAAACAGAGAACATTCTTGAACAACCTTTAATACTTGTAACATTAACAAGCATAATTAAAGGACATATTCGAAAAATCTCACCTTTAGAGCATTTTGAACACAGCCTGTTCGCCAATATTTACATGATAGTTGTAGGGGTAAGTCACCCAAAACACTGCAAACTCTGATCTTAAAAAAAGATTAAAATCGAAATATACGGCTTAAATCTTATTAAAAGAATTAAAGCTCTAAATTCTCAGACAAGATATGGGACGAACAAACCTATCAACAGCTGGAGATAAATTCCACCAAATAAAAATTGATCCACAAATCATAATAAACTGTTGCAAAACAATAATATTTAGACGGGTCGCGATCATATAAGATACGCCCGTTAGAAAACATTTCAGCACATAAAAAGTCACCTGCGACAGCAAAAAAACGACAAACAATATCAACAACACCTTCCTCATATTTATGACATTCTAAAAGCGTACCGGAAATTGTTTAGTGTAAAGTGATATAATTAGAGATAACTATAGACAAGTGCATGGAATACAGTTTCTTTACTATAGAGTTCGTTTCAGCAATAAGAATAACTCTTCCTGATTCTGAAAGAAAAAGGAGGACGGGTTTCCCGAAAAAACAGCCCTACCCACATTCCCTGACTGCCCTCGACGCCCAAGTCTGCACAGCCTAGCCCTCACAAAGCACTGCCACAGCAGGAGTGTCGCATCTCGCCGATATGCTACAGGCAGTGCAATGGAAAGGACTAGATTATATATAGATATTTGTTGATTTAAAGGTTTGGGAAGAGTGTTGAAGATCTGTGCTTGTGACGGAGTCAACGTTGTAGAGTTTCGGTGTAATTATTTGGAAATGGAACGAAGTATAGATGTGATATGTGATCCGAATCTTCGAATGCGAATTACTTTGGATATGGCGGTGGCTCAGGAAGTCAGCCCAACAGTCCCTATAAACCGGTTTGGTTTTCGATTTTCGTTAGAATAATTATAAGCCCATATATTGTATTTAAAAACGTCAAAATCTGCTTTACATCTTACCACAACGTATTATAAAATTTTTGTTCTCGAACTCGTGATGGCGAATAGGGTTTCTGGCGGTTGTTATAATGGCTGAGAATTATTACTTTGCATAAGTTTCGCTGTAGAAGCTAAGAATGAAGCTTTTCGCATTGCCTAAATGAGAAATGGAGTAACGCTCATCCCATTCTTTTGGCGAGAAATTCATTTCACACTGCTTCAAAATTTCTTTGTTCCCATCTCATTCTCCTAATCAAGCCAAAGCATTAACGGAGATTTTCATTATTTTAACCTTTTCTGTTATGATCCTTTTTGCTTCGTCATATTCCTTTATGAATATATCTTGGAACGTATAAGAATGTTTTAAATTTTAAAAACTGACATAAAAACATTCTGCAATCGCTTGTTTTCCTCTGTTTTTCATTAAACAGACCATGTACCGTGAGTTTGCATGTCACGTTTGTTTTTTTTTTCAGTTATTATCGAAGTCTGAATGAAATGTATCGTGTTGCTGGCTTCTGTATAAAAGATAAAGATTACGAAAGAGCATTTATTTATTATATGCGATTTGTGAGGTTTGCTCTCAATTCCTTTCCCTATAAACATAGTAGGATCCTTTCCTCCACCTTAATCTGCATGACAGAACTGGTAAAGATAATAAGACTTTTCTCGTTTTCTTCTATTATGATTTCTTTGTTTCGCATTTACTTGTTTTCCTGTTTTGCACACAGTATGTCTCTTGTTTTTATTATTTTGAAATAAACATAGTTTCCTAAAAAGCTTAAGCTATTTACGTTATTGCAGCTTGGCGGTCGAAGGATTACCGAAGCACAAACAGTACAATGGATTTTCGTCGGTTGAAAAAACCAAAGCGGAAGCAGTGCTTCGTGATGCGTTTGTGAAGGCGGAATCGTTGAAGGGACAGTTGAAAAAGAAGTATGAAGAAGAAGCAGTCCTAGCAAAACAGAGTGCGGAGAGGACTGTTGCTGATGTATGTTTTAAATATATTCAATGATTTCCTAGATTTCCAGTTGGAATCCTTTGCGCATTTATATAAGTAAAGTATTTGTAGAGATTTATATAAGTATTTGTAGAGTGTAAGCCATTTTCTATGTGTAGGAATTGTATTTTCCCGTCAGTTATATGAATAATGCAGAATGCAGTCTTGATCCGAAAAAAAGATGTATCTTCGGTTCACGATATCTCAGCACGCAGTCAACTTCTCGAAATAACTGATCACAGGAACTCAAGTTCTGCGGATTATGTGTTCGACAGCAGGTCAGCTTCTTACTGAATTTAATATTTTCGGTTATTGGATTTATTCGGTCTTGTGGAAATTTTTATTAATGGATTTCATAAACATCTATGATATATTTTTAAGGACTGTAAAATGATTAATATTTTATTATCTTATATTCGGTATATTGAAAGTTTTTAGCAATGAAGTTAGAACCTAATTCATCCAAAAGTTAAATAAATATAAATATTGCGTTTGCTGTTCTCATTCATTCATTACCTCAGAAATACTACTACAACTTTCAAATATCGTGATCATGCTCTTGCCATTCTTGACTCTTAACCTAGTTTAAGGGGATGCGAACTCAGGAGTTTCATATCATAGTATGTGGATTTTATGATTTAAAGGTTTTTTGAATTGAAGTGTCGCAAATTACATATCTATGAACCGAAATCATTTGAATGATCTTTTTTTTCTTTAAGTGTTTAAGATCTGTTCAAGGTCGGTATTTTTGTACGATATATTATATATATATATATATATATATATATATGAGAATTTTGATTTAATATTATATTATAAAATAATCAGGAATCTCGCTCATAAGGAAGTTGTTGTTGCGGGCGATCTTGTGGAAAATTTTGTGCGCTTGGCACAAATTAATACAAACCGTAATGTGGAAACATGTGGAATTTTATGCGGCTCGCTGGTTAGTTTTAAATCAGTTCCATGCCACTGCTTTTTTTCTCTGACATGTACTATCAAATAATAGGACTTTTATTTGAATTTCCTCTTGGTTTAATTTAATAAGGATCATTTCATACATTATCTTGGTGATTCTCTTTTAAATCTGAAATTGCTTGCTTCATTGTAATGGATTTGTTACTATCCTTCTGATAACATGTCTTTTTGATTTACTATTTTTTAGCTTAGGCTTGTTAAAAAAATTACTTTCTGGTGTGCTTGAATTATATTTAATATTATCAAAGACCCACTGCGGATGCACATGTACGTAAAAGGTGTAGTTCAGTTGCTCTAAAAAATGCACTTTAAAGCCAGCTTAAATTTCTTACTTTCTTGGAATCTATTTTTGGTTGCATTGTTATAGAATGTCATCTTGATAGATACTTTTCAAGATTGGTAGGGGAGTGTGTCGTATAACACATGCCGTGGTACCGAAGCAAACTGGCGCTGCTGATACCTGTGATACACATAACGAAGAGGAAGTATTTGCATATCAGGATCTTAACAATCTGATTACTATGGGATGGATACATGTACTTTTTTTTCACATTATCAATGGACTATTTTGTTGCTATTTAGTTAACATGTTTTTTTTAGTAGTTACTTTTATTCACTGAACAAAATGTAAGTCGTTTCTTATATTCTTTTCTAGTTTAACACTCCAACATACGGATTGATAAATTTTTAAAGCTTCAAGTTTTAATCACCCTTGTGTGTCAAAAATTTGAAGCATTCAAGTCGAAAAATTTTTGCCACTTGTGTTGTGTTGGAGAAAAGTTTGATTGGTTCGAGGGTATTGTTATGTTAAAGTAACTCCGAAAGCAAGACTGATATTATACCAAATTTTTTGCGCACTTCGTATAGTTCGGTTTATCCTGTATGTCAACTTATTGCAGACTCATCCATCGCAGACAGCGTTCCTTTCTAGTGTCGATCTTCATACTCATTGTTCCTATCAGTTGATGTTGTCAGAAGCTGTTGCCATTGTCGTTGCTCCAAAATTCAATGAGTGAGGTTTATTTCATGTCTGAAGTCGAGAAACGAGTTGCGAAATTAGATCTGAAATGAAGCCGTCCTGTCATCCTTATTTATTAGCCAATCAATTGAAAGGCTAAATAAGAATTTTATTTGTTAGCTTGAAATAATCTGTAACTCTTACTTATTTCAGGGTGGGCATATTTCGTTTGTCAGAACGTGGTATGAAAGAAATTAGCGGATGCTGTAAAACAGGTTTTCATCCACATGAAGATTCTGCAGCTTTGTTTTTTTACTGTCATGACGTACGTTTCGAAAATTCGTTAGCAGCAGTTGTCGTTGATTTGCGGTAACTCATCGATTATTTTTGGACGTAAGGGTGGAGAGGATACAATCTGAACCATCATTAGTTTTACGCTGTGATTCCACAATTTTGTTATAAGTTTTATTAATGTTTTTCAAGCTGTGAATTTAGAAGTTATAATATATATATGTATATTGATTTAAGTTTAATTGTTTTCCTTTGATGTGAACTTTACAAACCATAAGTGTGATTTTAATGAGAAATTTTAAAATATTCTTCGAAACGATTAACAGAAACACTATGAAGATCTGATTTTTGCAGCACGTCTCTAATTTGTGATGAATAATGAGTTAATGGTTAAATTCTTATAACGTACTTACTTGCTTTAGAGTACGTTTTGTATATCTCGCATGCAAATCATAAGCTAATATTTACTATAAATGATCCCTAATTTACATATAATTTTGCTTCTTCAAACTTTATTAATGGCAGAATTCTGAAACATTTAGTTTTGCTGACTTTTTTTTTTAATTCTGTGTATTTCAGCATGAGTTAATCTTTTGATTTGGTGATACTTTCGTATTCTTTTTTGGTGTATTTTTTTTAGTGTGGTTATGTAGATTGTTTTCTTTACAAAAAAAAAAACTTTCCGATCATCAACAAACTATCTGTTTTTGAAAGAATCAAGATTTGTTGTGGCTTCATTGTATTAATGTTTAATCTTATTTCAAGAAATAATTCCTCAAGAATTCTCATTCAAATTAAGGCTGGAATAACCTTTCATATTGATTACGGTGATCTTCGAAGTGATTAACTGACGATCACTAATACATATTAGTTGGTGGACTAAAGAAACTTTTAGTAGTCTTATTGGGACGTTTAAATGATAAGGATTCGATTCACAACTTTTTACTTTATACTGAAATTCTCCACTCTTATTATTCAATAACTAAAGTGATGAGGGGCGAAACAAAAGTTCGATTAGGAGGTGAATAAAATATCTAAAAAGTGAAAGATTAAAGTGGTTTGTCGGCCGTTCGCTCTATCAGCTGTTGAGTGTCGATCAGTTTAGGGAAGCACAGTTGCGCTGGGTAGCTTTTGAACACACTTTGCTGAGAAGTGTTTCCACTGTGTTCCACTAAATTAAAAATTGAATTGGTTCATATCTGTGGTACTAGTAGATCTCTTGTCTCTGATTTTGAAGCTGCGATGCTATTTTAAACATCTTCTGCCATCGCTTCCCTGTTAATCGCAGATGAAATTTTATTTCCATTTTTTTTAATCAGTTGTTTCTGAGTTTGGGCAATTTGACTGCTGAATATTTAAGAAATATTGAAGTTGGAGTCAGATGAGTAGTTTTAAATGAAAGGAACTTGCCGCAATAATTCCATCAGCTCTCATGTAAGTAACAGTACCCACATCAGTTTCTGACAGTTGTTCATTTAAAGTTTTTAAATTATCAATTCAATAAATACTGAAGTAGCTGAATTATTCCGTGCGTTAGAGGAGTTGCATCGATCAGGAACGGTGTAGAAATTTTCTTTCGATAAGTCAAGAATAAATTTATAGTAGTAGCAAGAGAAATTTATTGGGAAAAAAGTTTTTTTTTTTCTAGAAGGAATTTATAAGAGATTTTTGTGGACTGGTGATTATTTGTTTGCTTGCAATTTTTTCTCCAAGTTATCTGACTCTGGAAGTATGAATTCCTGAACTTCAAAATACGATGATAAAAACTTAAAACACAATCTTTATTCAATAACAGTCCGATTAAAAACTGATTACCAATTTCGTATTCCCTCTGTATAATTTTGGTAGGATTTTCAGCACGGAAAAAAAGCAGGTGGAGAAAAATACAGGTTTGTGATTGGAATCCTTGTTTCATATCCACTTTCCGAGCAGAATGTTGTACTGGTAGTCGCTATTGCGCAACTGCTCGAACGGTTGATGGATTTGCTTTACTTTAAACGGCTTTGATCAGTTTCATCAAAACAAACGTATATAGATAGATGGTTTATAGAAGATGGTTTGGAATACAAATTTTCAAGGAATATAGAAGATGGTTGATGCAATTCCATTTCATTCAACAGTATATCAAAATGAATATCTCTGTAATCAGTGAGAAAAAAAGTATTCATTCTCAATCGCTGTTGAATAATTAAATATTTAATCAGATAATTTTCTGTCCCCGAGTGATAATTGTTTTTGTATTGCTTACTCTGTTGAGTGCATTAACTAGTAAATGAGAATTAATCTTAGATTAGGAAAAAATATGAAAAGGTACTGGATACATACGTACCACTCCCTATCTGCATGTCTCGCTCGTTCAATCAATGCATTTTGGATATTTGATTTCGAGAATGTCGTGCTATTTAAAGTAGAAGAAATGTTGAAGTGAGAAGATGTGGGAAGGATGTATGTGAGTGAGAGGAATGGAGAAGCTATGTGTGGATCCTCAGCAACAACTAAAGCTCGAGCTAACACTGTTGAGACTCGAGAACAGCTCAAAGCGTGCATAAAGATGTTACAAGATGGATAGATTCTTTCTGCATTGGATGTAATACTACGATCTATTTTTCTTTTTAACTATTTCACAATACGTCTCAAATTGCGCACGGCATCTCTTACCGTTATCATCATACTTTCTATTATTAGCGTAATGTGCTTTCTTTCTTTTCATTTTACTTTTTTATACTTCATTATAATCTTCTTCATTCCATTTTATTCATTTACACCATTTCTCTCAATTCTAAAGGCAACTGATTTTTGTAGAATGTTACAATTTCAATATAATTCTTTTCAGCTAAAGCTGATCTCATTAGCTTTAGCTTAACTCGATTCTACTAGAGTAATATGGATGCACAATATTTTGTGATCGAAAACATCATAACCATCGATAATGTTTCTTATATATTTCATTTATGTTGAAAAAAAAAAAAGAAAAACGATATTTCGTTCGCAATAATGATTTCGTTTGGAATCTTATACGTAACTTTTTTGATTTTTCTAAACAATGCATTTGTTAAGCAAATGGCTTGTTATGTATATGTGTCAGCCAATTTCAATTTTCGTTTCTAAATCAAGTTTATGCGCCATCAGCATATTCATTATATCCAGATCAACTTGAAATGTTAAATCCTTTAACAGAAAAAAACTACGCATTGTAATGATTGTGTGCTTTTTTTCCCAATGCTTTTAAAAAAATTCAGGAGATGACAGAAATGGAGGAAGATCCATACGCAGTAAGTTCGGATACTGATACTGAATCATTGAAGGGTCCACCGCCAAAAATCAGCATTGAGGGGCGGTCTGTTGCTGATATTTCTTCACTTGTATGCTTTTTTAATTTAAAGAATGAATCAGTATTTACATGAATAGCATACATTGAATTCATTTGAAACACATACAGCACGTTTGATCATATTATTGAGTCAGCTTCAGTTAGTGGCTTCTTTTCAGTTGCTCAAATTCAGCAACTTAAAATTCTTTGTCTGATATTTTTCCTATTTCTCATTTCTCTCTTGGCATAAAAGAAATATTTGGCCACTTGCACTAGAAGTTTTTATCAGTGATCCAAATATAGTTGTAAGCCGAAGACCCATTGTACTTGAAAAACATGGCTTGGTGACAGCTCTAGTCTTATTTATCCTATCAAATCTAATTTATACCACACGTTAAAAATGCTGAAAACAATAAGCATAACATCAAAACAAGAGAAATAAATCATATAAAATTGTAGAAAGTATCCGTGTCACTGTTAGACATAAAATTAATTGTTAGGTCTATCTAAATATTTAATCTAATGTGAGTTGCAGTGTTTTTAAGGCAGTTATTTCATTCCTACTTAAAAGTGGTTTGATGGATGTCAATCTTAATCTCTTTCAAAGAATCTAGACCCATTGTGCGTTTTATCCCACCACTGATTTTGTACTGAATGATCGAATACTTATAATTAGCAGTCTTAGTAATCCGAAAGTAGACATACTTTAATTATCCTGTCTGATGAACGAGCATTTAATGTACTGTAAACCATGGACAATCTTGCAAGTATATTTCGTTAATGGAGTTGGTAGAAGAAAAGTTTTGAAAATGCAGTTAAAATTTAAAATTGTATGCGTGGGAAAAATTATATGCATCAAAAGTAGTTTTACGTTTAAACAAATGATGAAGCTATAGTAATTAATACAAATTATGATATATCATTGTTTTACCAGTTGGCTTTCAGAAAGCCGCTTTGAACGAAAAAAAAGAGGCATCGAAGGATGAGAAACGACTCGAAGAATTAAATCAGTTGAAGGAAAAATCCGAAATACATAAAATAAAAAGAGACTTTATTGAAGGTATGCATTTCGCTTTAAATTCTTCAAAAAGATAAATTGAGCTGGAAAACCCGGAAAATTTAAACCTAATATTTATGATTACAATACGTTACAAAAAAATTTGTGATCTCATCGTATTTTTTCCTAAAATTTTGAAACATTTGTTTCGTGTTAACGTGGCTTTTATTTTTTCACATTCCTTTTAACGTTAGAAAAGTTTAAAATTGTTTGATCGACCTTCGAAACTATCTAATTTTATTAATAATGGCAAGTTTTAGGCAAAACAAAAAATGAATTGACAAAGCCGGTGGATGAAGAACGTGAACAAATTGCTGCTGTCACAAAAGTATGCTTCGCTTCGGGACTAATCCTCAGAAAAGGACAAAATCTTTTTTCGTCACAGAATACTTTTCAAAAATATTACTCATCTATCGAAATCTCCGTAGTTTTATGATGAAAATCTAATTGGATGGTGATTTGGACTGTTTTAGCAATCAACCGTTCCACATCATTTACACATTTGATCTAAATATCCATCACCAAAGATGCATAATACAATTGAATAAATATTTAAATCATTCTTTTTTCTTTTTTCGGTAAATAATTTTACAGTCTTTTCAGGAACAATATTCGAAGTTCAGAAATAAATTTGAGAATCTTCCGGAAGTGATGAAGGAGGATCTCGAAGAACGTTTAAAAACTATAGAAAAAGAGCTGACAGGTGTTGGAAAGGAAAATTTAGAAAATATCAAGGATGCCTTTGAAAATCCTCAAGAAGTCAATAAAAGTGAACGTGAGCAAATTGTTATTGAACGTTCGGAAGAAGATAAAAGGCGAGTGATGAAGAAATTTTCCCAGGTTTCCTACATTTTATTAATTTTAAGTAATTTTTTTTCATCAGCTTTGGATTTTGCAGTAAAAGTTTGGCTTGCAATTAGTAAACATTTCTTCATATGTTGTTGGATCTCCATTGATACATATTTAAAATATGCCTTCAATAAACCTTTCTTTTAAAACATAAAAATTATTATTTTTTTAAAGGCAGACCTTACAGCAGATGATGTTCCCAAAGAATGTGCAGTATGTTTGAAAACAGTTTATCCTGTTGAAAGGATCTTTGCTAATAAGCGAAATTATCATATACTATGCTTTAAATGTGTCAAATGCGGCAAAAAATTGACGTGAGCCGATTCTCACTGTTTTCATAATTATAATATTGTTCGTTAAAGAAGGGTCACGAAGAAGCGTTTTTTTAAAAAGTTTACAAGTTGTGATATGCGTAAGAGTACAATTTTACTGCCATTGGCTGACATTACCCGAGTTATCTCGCATCTCCTTGAGTGAAATCAACATGAAGCGTCGAACACTTTTCCCCTCAGAATTTTTGATTGCTGTTCAGGTCAACGAATTATAACATGCACGAAGAGCAACTGATGTGCAAAGTTCATTACCTTGAAATATTTCATCCTGAAATTGCAAAAACAATGGACCCCGCCACAACAGAAGGCTAGTTTTTAGCAAAGCAAAATTTCTCACGATATTTTTTGACATTTTTACGACATTAACGCAGTTCTCTTATCTCATCGATTTTATATTAGCATCATAGTGAGAAATAAATTTAGAGGATGAAAAGGTGGACGAAGAAGAAGAAGAATATGCAGTATCGTCGAAACCAAAGCAACTTGGAGATGATGTTATTAAAAGTAAATTTTAATTGGTTCAGTTCTGTTCGGTAATGGTGACTTTTTATTGCTACTGTGCAAGAAATAAATCTGCGTTCCAAAAAATTTATGCACTTTTTTTCACTTCAACTTCACTCACTTTCTCTTTTTCAAATATACCTGTAGCTATAGTTTTTCGTGAGAAGATCTTGAGGGACATAATTTTACCTTAAAAAAATTTATAACGCTAACTTTTTCCTACTTTGATAGAGTGGAAGAAGGAGCGAGTCAGTTCTTCCTTGGTAAGTAATGCGAATTCTTTGTTCCGTTCTTGGATTTTTTTCTCTTTACTTTTTCTGCACTTCCTAGTTCATCCATATTAAAAATTTGGAGCTCATATTGGTGCATTTGTTTGATTTAACTATTCCATGTCTCATATAACCTAAATACCCAAAATTTGTCATGAACATGACAGCAAGAATATGGAAAGGAATTATTTGTCTGCAGTGATGGGAAAGTATGCATTGAAGTGGTTTACATATTAATAGGATATCAGAGGGGTAAAATCCTCCTATCACATATATATATATATATATTAGGGAGAGAGAAAAAGAGCGAATTTTCCTCCTTTTTAGTACTCTTGAAATAAACTACTTCATTTCATATGAAATATTCATAAGAAATTTATAACATAAGGCGGGGAAGAAATGGAAGAGGAGGGAGGGGAATGGATTTATCATGTGATGATGACGAAGGTGGTAATAGTGTGACCAATTGAACTTCTTCGGTACGCTGACCATATTTCATCTTTGTGAAATGGACATTTTCACTGGAGTTTACGTATCAATTACAGGTGAAATTTATTCACTTCTCTAGTTCGCACTCTTCCATTACCTTTCATAATCATTTCTTAATGCATCTTTTAAAATGATTCGTACAAATCTTGAAATTTTACAAATTTTATGAAAATTTTATGAAAATTTTGAAAATTTTACAAAAATTGAAATTTTATTTTATCTTGAAATTCGTACAAATCTACAAATTTTAAACATGAAATTAAAACTTTTTTGTTCTTTTCTATATGCCTCTTAAATCCCGAATGAGGATTACAAATAACGATTAGATGAAAATTTGTTTTCTTAATTTCATATCTTTTTGAATACGAACCATAAAAGTCTGTAAATATGCTAAGAAATCAAATTTCCATGGATATTTATTTTTCCGAAAAACCCATATTTCACTCTTTCATTCATATGATGAATCTATACAATATTTTCTATGATTGCATTTTGCCACGCTAGTTTTAAAAACTTTTGTCTTCTGAAAAACTATGTTCTATAAGCTAACGTTAATTAGCTTGGTAGAGCATGGCTCACAACAACAGTCCAAAAATGAGCCTATTACGAACCACTTCGAAAGTTCATTCCCTATTTTTCTTTAAATCCTTCAATCAATTCATCTCCTAGTAGCTTATAGCATTAAGCAATTTTTTCGACTTAAAAAATAGTTTCATCCATACTTTATTGAAATTGGTCCAATTCTATATGACTTGTCCTCCTTTCCTGCAAATTTAAAGATTTGTGTTTTGTAAGTCGTGTTCTACCAAGTTAATGTTCATTTTACTATTCTTCAGTCACTTCGATTTATCTCTTGCCTGCAAAGTCTAATTTTCTTATTTTAGAACTACTCAACTTTTATAGGCCTAGACCGCTTCATATCTTCTACATATCTTTTTTTCTATATGACGTTATTTCTTGCAAGGTATAAGTTGCAAAAATGCTGATTTTTTTCAAAAAAATCATGAAGTCGCAATGTGAGTATCTATCCACTTTTTCTGAATTCCTATTTATTTGTTGCACAAATCTCTAGACACTGATTATTTTTTCAAAAATGTTCAGAGTATGAATTATAGATGCTTGCTTATCTATGATAATTATTAACAAGGTAAGGATTTGTTCGCGATATAAATTTCACAGCTTATTTCCGTTGTTTACATAAAGTGGACGAAAAGGGAGATGTTAGGAAAATCAGTCAAAGTCTCTTGGGTTAACAAGCAATTTTCAATCAGAATATTGATTAGATAAGATTTTTTGAACGATAGAATAGGCAGCAGCAAATTTTCCATTTCCTACTTTCTAGGTGTAAGCCACTGTAAAGCTTGATATTACCATTATTATTTAGTTTCCCAAATTGCATTTTGATAATTAATAAGCCAAACCATTATAGAAATCAAAATCAACGATAAGTTAGTATTACATGATTTGAAAGTCTTAACATGTTACCAATGTGATTTCAGGTGGTACAAAATTAGACGACTTGTCAACTATCGGATCATTGAAGTCCAGAAAAGGAGATTGGGAAAATTCTGTGAAAGAGGCAGAAGCTATGCTTACCGAGAGGAAAAATATTGTTGATAAGATTATTTCTGGAAAAGTGAAGGCTAATTTGGAAAAGTACATATTTTAATTGCATCAGTGACATCCCAAAGTACAAATAGAATGCAAAATTTACCGGTATTAATGAACCGAAATTCTGTCCAGTATCGTTAAAAAAGTTAGTCGAGACATAGAAGTACATGAGGACATTTAAGAGCATGATAAAAAGCTGATTATATTTAGCAATTATGAAGGTGTTTTTTAAAATTCAATTTAATGGTTTTTTTTTTTTTGAAAAGGTGAAGAGAGAAGGGGGATGAGAAAAAGGAGCAAAATATTTATTTTATCCATCTTATTCAATAAAACGAAATTTTTCTGAGTTAAGCTTTTTGAGTTTTATAGTGTGAAAATGTGATAGCATAAGAAACACACTAATCATCTTTTTGTAGATTTATAATGGGTACTGCTAACAAGGAAGAGGAAGAGGAAAAAGAAGATGATGAAAGAGATCCAAATATCGTACGTGAAGACAAGAAACGTCGTAAGGAGGAACTTAACTTTGAGCGGGTTTGACATCCTTAATATTATTTATTAAATTTGAATTTGGAAGAATTGCATTTTGTTTCTTTACAAAGCTTCAGAAATGTGTATGGGATAAATCGTTGACGTATCGGTTCCTAACGAAGAGATGATTCAATAGGAATTTTTGTTAGAGGAGTTTAGGTGGGTGATATAAAGAATAAATGGAAAGCGGGCAACATGCAGACAGGAGATGTCAAAGAAATGAAGAACGATATGAAGGAACTACAGAATTGTCCTGGAGTCAAAGAGCGCTTCCAGGAGATGAGAGAAGCCGAACAAAGAGTTACTAAACAATGGGACAGTAGTGAACTCAATACTTCAGGTTCATTCTTCACATAGCAGTTTTTAAAGTGCAGAAATGAATGTTATTGTCTCTTCAAGGGATATTGATTTGCAGAACAAAGATTATTCTTGCTTTATAGTTCATTTCAAACTCCTTGTTAGGATAGTCAAGTTCCATCTGCAAAAATTATAAGGTTGTGATCTTTGTTTTATGATGTTCTCTACGACTAAATCAAATTGATTAAAATATTGAATTTCTCTCAACTTCAATTTTTTCCAATCATTACCGAATTTGCAATAATCGATATCCAAATTTAGGAGTAGCTGATGCTCGCAAATCATTTTTAGAAGGTTCAGCATTTCAATCCGGACCAATTGAAAAAACTGCCTTTGAGCTTGAAGGACTTGAATTTAAAAGTTCGTGTTTTTCTTATCTTTGGATTTTTTCAATTCTTCTGGAAAAATTTTAGTATTTGACTTGTATTTGAACAAAGGCTTCTGTACTTCTTAAAAAAATGGAGAATAAGAAAGTAAAGTTGTCTTTCAAATCTGACAAATTGACTGTGTTCATCTTTGAATCTGATGATTTGTTTAAACGCCACAAATTTGACTAAACAAAGATTTAAAGTTATTAAATTAGTAAAATTTAGTTTAAAGGTAGAAAAACCAATATTAAAAATTTGTATCGATTTCATCAAAATGATAAAATTTGTTCGCAGAACTTCAAAATTTCAAAGAACGATTTGAAAGAGGTGAAGGAGATATCCATGTCCAGAAGGTTGAAATTGATATACATGCCGGAGACCTCAGTGGTATTAAATCAGCGTTTGAAAAAGTAAGTATCATTAAGTCTGTTTATAATCACCAAAGCTGGCGGATGAAATTAAAAAATTTAGCACTATTCAGACGAAATTCCAAATAAAAATTCTTGCTTAAGAAAGAGAAATTAAACAGTTAAGTTTAACATTATATTAGAAATGAGGGAGAGAATGCGAAATTTTAGGGAGAAGACAGTTTGGAAATGACACCAGAAGAAAGAGCGGAATTAAAAAAGAAACAAATTGAAGAGGAGTTTCTAAGGTACAAGCTTGTTAGACGAGCAGCTGCCCAGAGAGAAGCCGTCAACGAAGTTCATTAATTATCCTTTTTTTTAATTCACTAAATTTAAACTTCAAAAGACCATTTTTTTTCAAGGATGATTAAAAAGGAAGAATTAGGACGTGAAGACCAAAGAAATAGTGTCTCATTTAAAATCTTATTATTCATCTACATTGAAAAAAATTGCACTAAAATCTTATTACTAATTTCTTTAAGAACTATCACTGTTGCTGTATCCTTGCGAAAAAAAAGTCAAAATTGAATGACTATTTCAGTTCTGTTCATTATTTTTATTCTTCACCGTAATTATTCTCCTTAATTACGTAGGTGCTTGACGATATTAAAATTGAAGCTGGAGAGGAAATTCAAGTTGAAGCAATCAAAAATCGTTTTGAAAAAAGTGATTATTCTGCCAGAAATGAACACGAAGGTTTGTGCATTTACGTCACTTAATGTTTATGCAATATCATTTTATGATATGGAAATAAGACTGGAAATTTTCAGACAAACAATTGGATGTAGAAATCAAAATTGCTGGTAAAGCTAGGCAGAAATTTCAACAAATCGATGCTGAAGGAGCTCAAACAATTACTCCATGTAATCGGGTGGGGATTAATGATTCAACATTAACAGTTCATATATTTCATTTTAACTATTACAAATAGCACCTATATCAAAAGACCCTAATTAAGCTTAAAATATTTTAAAGATGATTTTTGATATCTGTCAATGTTTTCTAGCAGGAGAAGCAAATAAGCAAATGGGACAAAAAGGAAGGCGCAATTCCGGAACCAGTGAATAGGAGAGTGGTGGCGGATGAAGGTCTGTTAGCAATGGAGAAAAATTGTAGTTAATTATTTTCTCTTTTGAAAATTGCAGAAAGATTCAGTTTGCTTGCATTGTGTTAAAACGATTTTCAAATATGCATCTTTACCTATTCATCTATTAAACGCTGTTCTATTTAAATGTTAAGCTGCCTTGAGCTAAATTTGAAGAAATGTCCATTCTGATAATTGAATGATCAGTATATAAATCTCCATCCTTAATTGTCTTCTGTCGAATCACTCTTTAAGCGAATCACAACGAATTATTGCACGCCGTTGGGATAATAATAGAGGTAAAAGGTTGTTTTTCCTATGGTTACTTTAATTCTTTTTTATTTTCTAAAAGAAATTAGTTGCAGAGAATGAAATAGAAGATGACGATGCTTATGATGTTAAAAATCTCATGCAAAAGTTCAAAAATATTGGCAGAGAAGAGGAAGCAAAAAGAAAACACGAAAGACAGAGTGATTTGGATGAAATTAAGGTATTCATGTGTGAAATTATTTGATACGCTTTGAAAAACTACACCTTTACATTCATGAGTCCATTTTGCAAATACTAATTTTGGGTAAGCCATTTTATAGCCACTGAATTTATGGCTCTCAACCAAAAAGTTTTTAGATAGCTGCACGTAATCTCAAAGAACAATTTGAAAAAGTTGGAATGGAATTTGAAAGTGAAACAGCAGAAGAGAAGCGTAGACAGCTTGAAAAGGAATTTGAACTACTGAGACGTAATTTAATTTTGATGTTTTTTTTGACTGATTCTATATTTAACAAAATTAAGTTTTGTAGTGTCTAAAAAAGACTCTTTATCCTTAATGTACCTCATGCAGTATGCCGTGATATTCAATAAACGGAATCTTAATGAATTAAAGGTGAAAAAGAAGAAGCGGCCGCTGTTCGTGAAGAAACCCCCGAAAAAGAGAAGTTTCCTGAGAGAGAAGAAATTCATGTGGCTACTGATCACGCTTTGAAAATGGCTGCAAAATGGGAAAAAATTCAGAAAAAGGAGGCTAAGAAAGCGGAAAAGAGTCGGATGCCTCCAAAAAATGTTACACAAATGGTTAGTCAAATAACTATTAGGCAATAAGCATTTTGCAATCATTTTTTTCGACGATTATCTGGTTGTTTCAGTTATCTGCGCCTCCTTACTCCTTGTTTGTCGTCATACGGACTCTTTGTAACTTAAATTCGAAGAAAAGTTATAGAGTAGACTGTTTTCTCTACATTTTAGAAACTTTCGACTTAATTTATATAGATATATCATGATCGTTGGGAAATGGTTCAAAACAAAAGATGAGATAATCATCAACGTGTACAACTAAAATTTCAAAAGCAATCCTTATGCTAAATAATAAAGGAGTTTTGCAGCTAAACAATATGTTCAAATAGATGTAGTATAGTAAGATAAACGTTTTGCAGGAAAAATAAAACATACAGAAGAAACACAGTAAACACATTATGCATGTTTCAATGTTTCAATGAGTACTAAGAAGTCGACTTTTTTATGATTCAAAATTGTTTTAATCATTTGTTCTATTTATTTTTGAAGTAAAAATATTTGAAATAGAACAATTCGTACATAACGAAAATGAAACAAATTACAATTTTTTGCATGCCTTTTACGCATGTGTTTTAGTTAATAAAAAAATACATTTTGGAATTTATTTGTGTGAGCTAATTCAACCATAATCTCTTCTAGAAAAATATGCTCTCAATAACAGAATTTAAACATTTTAAACCTCTTTTTTTACCACAATTTTTGATCATTGAACTTATTACGCCTTCTGGTAATAACACTGCTAATAGTTTCATTGTGTATACAGTTACGCTTATATGGGTGCCTTAAAAAAGATTTATGATTTCATTCCTGAAAACATTCATTTAAGGTATTTGTAGTCTCAATATTTATATAGTGATATAGGATAGCAAATGTTTTAAAAACGAATAAGTTCTTCAAACTGACATTTTAACCCAAGCGTGAGGTGCTCATCTTTTAATTAACACTTCAGACTTGGAATGTGACGAGTAAGGAATGCTATGTTTCTTCTTTTAATCAGTGCATGAAATTACAATCACTTCAGATTTGGAATGCCCACGCAGCATCTTCTCCGCTATGCAATTGCTGCGGTAAGGCTGTGTATCTTGCGGAGCGTTTGCAGTGTTTCTCGCAAATATATCATTTGAGATGTTTTCGATGTAAGCATTGCGGCCTATATTTAAGGTAAAAATTAAATTTTACTTCCGAAAAATGAAGTGATGAAGATAAAATTAGAAGATTGTGAACCACTTCCAAAATTTTATGGATCATTCGGTCCCGCTATTGATTTAATAAGATTTCTCATGTTTTTTTTTACCAGTAACCAGTTTCTCAGATGTTTTAATTTTTTGGATTATGGTGATGAGAAGATATAACCTAAATACATTTGTTTGAAATAATCTCTACTAATTTCTATCCGAAAACCTTTTTTTTTTCACACCAAATTTTTATTCTACCATATAAAGGACTATGTTGGTGGTGATAGAGCAAATTTAGATTTCAAATCGAGTTTCGTTAGAAACGCCAAAATTTTCTAGCAGTTTATATTGATTGCTCTTAAGAAGGCAGACAACTGCTAGTCAGCTTTTCGTTCACTTGGATCACTAAATCTTCTCAGGTCAGACTATCATTGTAGAAGTGCGTGTAGTGCAACGTATGGCATGCATTTAGTTCGCTTGATGGTAGCGGAATTTGCATAACATTTCAAATATCAGTTTGCAAAAAAATGAAAGTGGATGATACTGCATGAATAACTCACTGATCATGTTGGAATTCAAAACAATATGGCTAAAACTATACAACTTCGACCTTTTTTTGACCCGTTCTTAGATTTCTTCTCGGAATCTTAGCCTTGAAGAGTTTTTAGAAATTTAGAACTTATTTAACTTCATACTCATAGCCAACACATTAGAGAGTTCCGAGGAAACTGAGCTTTTATTGAAGTACAGTGTTATAACAAAAAATTGCCAGAATAAGTCACGTTCTCCTGAATTTTTCGATATTTTTTGGAACTCTTTTTAGCTAAGATCATAACACGTAGAGATATTGAATGTACCTTCAAGCTGGCCTAAAAAAAGCTATCCTAAAATCACTCACTGCTGCAAGAAGCATTTATGTTTGTGTTCGATTTTAAACTTTCGTACCTCGAAAAATTTAGTTTTTCTTTTTATTTCCTGCATGTTTGAATTGCTACCTAAATGTTTATAGAAATTAAGCCAAAAAAGTTATGAAAAGTTTATTGTAGTTGATATTTGCCTTTAGATGTTTTTGAATTTACTTAATTAGAAAATTTCAGTTCTATTTTCTGCATATTTTGTCATTTAAATCGATCAAAAATTTATTGGTGGATAGTAAATCATTTATATCCAAAGATTTTGGATATAAATGATTTTTTAAAGATCCTGACAAATATAAAAATCCACAGAGAAAAAATTTTTTTCTTTCTAATTTCAACTTTCATTCCAAACACTTAATAAGCTTTTTGAATCTTCTAAAAAATCAATAATGTAGAAAGCCTATTAGGTGCAATGAAAACGATCCAAAATACTAAGAATAGCGTAGTTTGTAATTTTTTTGAGATATACGATAGTGTCGAGCAGAATGTAATGTCAGTGATCCACTGCTTACTGCTGATTTCTCTTTAAATCAGATAACTCTTATCATTTACCGAAATCGCTAATTTCTTCCATGATTCATTATTGTGAAGGGATTTTTGTCGTGAACGATTGATACAAGCTTATTTAAATTGCTTTTAAGCATGACTTGCATGAAATGATATTGAAAAATGCAAAAAAGTTGTTCATTGTTTTTTTTACAAATTTTCTTGATTCAAACACCTTTAGGGTGGAAAATTGCCAACGATCAACAGATGGCAGTATTTTCTGCGAAACACATTTTCGTCGCCTGTTTGTTGCTCAAAGTTCATATGTTTTTCGACATAATCAGCAGTTTGTGCTAACAAACTAACTGTTCGACCAATGGTGCTTATCACTCTGCATTAAACGAATACAGTTATATTTCAAGGAATATATCTTTTTATATTGTAAAAGTTATTTGTAATGTACAAAAGCTTTTTCAGTTTGATATAAGACATCAAATTTTCTTATTCTGTTTTACTTGGGCCTATAATCTATTACCCTTTAAGAGCTGTTCTCATTATTAAAACTATTCTTTGATTATTATAAGATCGATCCTTAGATCTGGTGAATGCTATAATGGGAATGGATGCATATCGACGACTATCTTAACTCTGAAATTTATCAAAAGATGATTGCAAATTATAATTGTGTAATTTATATCCGAATGGTAAAAATGAAAAGGGGAAAGTTAAAAACATTAAAGACGAAGGGTATGTTTTCTTCGGAGAAGATAAAGAGAATTTGACAAAGAGAGGAGAAACTTGCTGCCTTAAAAATGCTGTGCGGTTCTTCTCAACAGCGCTATTTTGTACGTTGCTGCAACACGCAGTTATCCGTAAGTTAAATTTCTGGAGGTATTGAAATTTGTCAAAAATTTGTTTTCTCCAGTACTGTGTGGTAGATCTAATTGTAGACTATCGAAACCTATCCCAAATACCTTTTCAATAAAATCTCGGGAATTGGTTTTGTGAAATTCAATAGAAATTTTCTAAGACTTAATTTAAAACTGTCACAAGCAAGCTTTTGCTACTGAGTTAAGCCACATAAGACCAGTAAGGTTATGGTTATGATTATTGCAAGAATGTGGAGGAAAATTTAGGAGTGCTACTCTACATTTCATGTACCGACTGTATATGTCTCCATAGATTGAAAATTTTTTACCGTTTTACTGAATACTGTGAAGTGAATTTGAAGGTGATAGGTGTGCTCAAAAATAATTTTTTTTGGTGCAATTTTGAACGATACATCCAATTCTGATCACTAATCATTGTTAAGTCTTGAAATTTTTTATGTCACAAGCACGGATAATTTATAAAAACAAATTTTTTCCAAGAAGAAATTTCTACAAAAGACACTACAACCACATTTCATACATTTGCAAAAGCTTTACTCAAGCAAGTTCTACTGAAAATTTAAACTATGCCACCAGCGTACAAGGAGCACATTGATAACTTTCGAAAATGGTGTTAATGCAGTTAATTCTTTTTACCATCATGCCCTACCAAAATGCTATTCTCCTTGCGTATCGCATTATTGCGTATTAATTCTTGTGTCATCGCAGCTATCTCATCTTCAATGCCTTCTCTGCAAATTTCACAGATAAGTGCACTTATCTACAATTATATATTATCTACAATTAGACAATTAAACATTAGTTCAAAAGTTGAATTTTTCATCCGCAGTAAACACATGCCAAATATTTTTTCTTATGGAAAAAATTATTTTTAAATCCTTTAAGAGATTATGGATCAAGGATGTTATCCTTCATTGAAAAATCGAAATTCACTCCTTTTCAATCACCTAACCACGAAAGTTCTCGCTAAGTTAAGCCAGAAAAATTGCAAAAAAAAATCAGAAGAATCAGAAGACCTTATTTGTGTGCACAATATGCCTAATTAAAATATCTCTGAACAAAATCAAAACTGCAGCCTTGACTTTGACGATGACTCAGACAAATATATTATTTGAGATTAAGCGTACCTGAAATGATATGAGCGTAACGCGAATGGATTCTGCGGATATGCATTGTGCACAACGGCGGTAACATTGTGATAATCAGGACAGTCCAGTGGTGTTACATCCAAACAACAGAAGTAATCCACCTGATTGTGCCAACAGCACATCGTCGCTGCGTTAGGCTTTAAACTACATGGTGAAAGAATGACAATTTTAGAAATTTTGACACACCGTTAAAGATAGCATAAACTATGAATTAACCTGATCCGGCAAAGCATTTATGCAAAGGCTGTTTTGATGAGGAAGACATTTGCGTGGTTGTCCATCAGGACGATACATTGGCCTAGAACCAACAGGACATGGTTCTATGTTTCGTCTTTCCAACACATTACTTATGACCAATGTAGACACTAAATTTGTTTAAATTATTATATACGTAATCGCTTAATTTCGAAAACATATGAAACATCGATTATAATGAGTGAAACTTTTTTTTTTACTTTTTTCAGAACAGAAGTTATACAACAAACGAATAGTATCCTATTTCATAAAACATTTATTTATGCAATAGATTCTCTTTGAATAAAACTGGAATTTTGCAACCAGTACAAATGTTTTTTAATTTAGAATGCGAATGGTTGGAGACAATTCATACAACTTTAAAATTATCTTTATAATTAAAATTTAGTAACTTTAGCAGCTTGTTTGATATTGTTACCAATATAGGACATTTATTAGAAGGTGACGCGATACGATATTTTTACCAATAAAAAAGTTATGCTGCAGTGATGGATGGAAACACAAACTTTCAAAGGACATATAAAGAGCATAAAATCGGTAAAATTGATGAAAACGATCTCTTTCTGATCTAAAAAGGGATAGAAGATATATTCAACGTTTTTCTTACCTGTCAATAAAAGAAAGATGCACCGAGCAGGCATCGTTGTGTTCATTCTTTTGTATTATTTCTACGTCGTATCCAAACATCCCCAATATAGGACATTCATTAGAAGGGTGATGTGACACAAGCTGCAATACCCATCTCATATAATTTTTCCGAATTGATTTTATCACTATTGTCACTTTACATCCATACATTAACACACATATCGATTCAATTGAATAACGAGAAATCGTCGAAAACTTTTCATTTAAACCATCGTCATTTCATCAAACTATTTAAAAAAGAATCCTACGTGGCTAGCTACATTTGACTGTAGACAATTGGGAATGGTATTAAATCATCGGCCTATTCATTCTGTCATTTGATTGGAATGCATTCTTAATCTTCGCTTCTTAAATATTTTCTACAAAAATTCAATCTCTTTTGTTCATAAGAAGATTGCATGAAATAGTGGAATAAAACTTTTTTTATTAATGAATTTGCTTTAGTAATTTCGACACGATGTGTTTTATTGTGAAATGAATTTATAAAATATACAATTTCCTGCCAAAACATGAGCGATTTGAAATTAATTTGGAGTGTTGAAGAATCAAAACCATAGTAATACATACAATTTATAATGAAGAAATTTCAAGAAAGGAAGTGTTTGAATATTTCAGGAAAGGGTAAGCTAACAAAGGAAAAATAGAAATAAAGCATATTCTAAAAGGAATGTTATTCAAACAAACAGGCAAAAAAAGTATCAGGATGAAGAACAAACTATATTACTTAATGTTTGACACTATATTACTCAATGTTTGGCCTTAACTAATTAACAGCGTGAATAAGTAAAAGAAAGCAGACGTAAAAATCATTATAAATAAACGGTGAAATCCAAATATTTATTACATTTTCAGCATGTCTGTATAAAGTTTGTAATTTGAAATAAAGAAGGAAAACTAACTTTAATCAAATCGTAATGTGATTATAAACTTGTAAATCTATAGAATTAGGAGATAGATCAAATGTAATCGCACTGATATTGAATTGCCAGCAAAATTCAAAATTATTTTAGCATTATTTTGAATATTTGCTCAATAGGCATATCAGAAAGAAACACGATTCATGGAAGTGTTCAAAAGTTAACGAAAACTGCTAAATTAAAGTCAAAGATATTGCAAAGAAAATTTGCTAAAGAAATGTAACTGAAAACGGAGGTGCATATAACCTGCTCTTTGGATATTCTTACTTTTATAATAAATTTTAATTTTGCGTAAGTAATAAACCCTAAAGAATATAAATTGCACCAAATAAAAGGTGATGAAACGAGATGTGTTTGATGTTTGTCATCAGTAGAGTCTTATTTTTTGGAAAACCTTTTCTTTTTTTGAAAACCTACTTTGAATGATTGAAAATCAGGAACAGCTTTCTGAAGTTCAACGATGGAATGAATCATGCAAATTGATAAGAACTAACCTAGTTTAGCTTTGGGTCTTTGAAAATGTTGCCTGAAAAAATTAGATCCTTTCGTTAGAGTAGATTCAAAATAAGAGGTATATTTCCTTCGAAAACAGTTAAAAATGTAAATGAGGTTACTAAAACGATTAATATAATATAATAATTACCATAATCTGAAGACAACATTTTCAGAAACTTAAAGCTAAATCAGATTGTTTCTTATCTATTAAATATTTCATGAAGTTCACTAAAATATTCCAATCAACTCGACGCTCGAGAATTATTACCTTCTAAGTAAAATAAAAAAAACCCCTTTTAAAATGATTGCTTTGATTATTTTACAACAATTAAGATGCAACAAATAATAAAATCATCTTTCCAATTCCCAATGCTGTTCGTCCTCTATCGAAATCAATTAAATAATGAGCATGTGATTCTTGAAAATTTGTATACGAAAGCGAAAAAAGAACGATGGGAGATACATTTCAGGAAGATATAACTTTTATAAATTAGTCTTAGAAAAATTATTTAATGCTGCTTGCTGTCCTTTTTTTTCAGACGGTTAACGAGCAGCAACTGCGAATCTAATTATTACAAGCTTCACCGACTATTAATATTGATAACTCATTTGTTAGTTACGCTTCTCATCCAAATTTTCGTTAGAAAAGTTTTAAAAAGTTGACAGAAATAACAAATTGCTGTCAGTAAATCATCTCCTCTCCCACTTTGCAGTGATCAGTGCAGTTAACAGTCTGTTTTAATGCGTGTTTAGCAACAAGGTATCACCGTTCAGTTTGCGATGCTGTTCCGTGACCTAAAACGAAATACTACTCTGAAGCTAATGAACTAATACTTTTCATTACAATTAAACGTATGCATCGCATCTCGTTTTACGATGCGAATGTGACAATTAAAAATGATAGGAAAAAATTTTTATGTGCTATAACTATTCATCTTCATTTAGATAAGAAGTGCTTCTTTCAAAGTATACAAATTTAGATATAATTTCAAGAAAAAAAAACAATATTTAAGAAGTTTTTAGAGTAAAATTACATCTTAAGACTTTTCAGGGAAAATAAATAAGCTACTTATTTCTTACATATGAAATCGTGTTCTCATTCATTATTTGAAGTTGAAAGTAACAGTCATTGATGCAATTAAATCGGGTTCTGAGGAATTTCTATTGGAGACAATCACTGGGAAGTGCAAAATTGCTTAAATTGGTAGAATCCAGGTTATATTTCCATTCAAACTTAAAAATGACAACATCCATAAAAGATTCTACAACGAAACTGCTATGTTTAACAAAATGATTTTTGGTCTTTACCATTTCGAAAATCAGAAGTCGAAAAATTCTGAACTGATATTGGCATAAAGTAATATTTCAGTTTAGTTGGGCTGAACATTTCGTTGATCTATATATTTTTCACAAAAAAGCCCTTCTACCTTAAAAGGTGAATGATGCTGAAATTTCGAGTTAAATTAACTAATGAATCAAGTGAACTGCCACTGACTGTGCCATTGCTGATTTAGTCCCATACAATCACAAACAGATGCATGATAGTAGCAGCATCAGTGATTGACTTATTCAATTACTCATTTTCCTACGGAGTTATGAAGCTAAAAGTTGACATTAAAAAGCATATCAATTTTTCGATTCCGTACCATACTATTAAACACTAATTGCAAATGGAATAACTTATTTTACCAAAAAAAATTTTCTTGATATTAAACTTTAGCTAAGAATTTGGAACTTATCTTTATTAGAAATTTAAAATTTTCCTTGAATACTGAAAGATTGCAAAAATTGACTTCAATATTCTAAAGTCTTTGTTTCATTTTTGAAAGCGCTTATAAATAAACTAGTATATTTTGGGCGCAAAAGAGTAATTGAAGTATTTCATGTATGGTAAATTTTATTGCCTTAGCTGAACAAAAACATTTTAATTGAATATTACATTAATATAATTATGAAGTTTTTAAACTTTGCAAGATTACTGAATTATTTACATGTTGCCAAGTCTTGCCTTACAGAAGTAAGTGTTGTGAGGTGATACATAGAGTAGAAAGAGAAGAAAATCTTAGTGGATATGCAGAGATTATTCCAGGTCATAATACTTGATAGTGGTGAGTGAGTGAAGTTCGAGGCTGTTATCATAAGGACATCTCCATATAACATCTCTTCAGCACAATATAAATAAGATAAGATCGAAAACTTTACTATAATGTTATCATGATGACAATCAGCTGGCTCATGAATTTCTGTAACCTTTTCGTTCCCTTCACCTGTAACCGATGGACCCATTAAGGAAGAATATGTGTATCTCCAAATTTCATTTCGAGAATTTTTTTTAAATATTTTTCCAAGTTTGAAAATGCGCTATGTTTGTGATCGATCAAATTTAAATATAATTTCTGCAGTTATAAACAAATTTCTCTTAATTTTTTAATGTTACCCTACTTGCCAAACTACAATCTCTACATGTTATCATCTATTTACTTATTTTTTGCATTACTTTCTCATTCTTTTTCTTTCTTACAACCCAGTCGGAATTTATTTCATATTTGCAATTCCTTCGCTATGTTTACCTGACCCTCCCATCTTTAATATTCAAAAACTCCCTCGCGTAGTTCGCTCCCACCATTCACTTGCAGAAGTTTCAAGAGACTCATTTGGTATCTTATTATTGATTTATTTCTCAGCAATATTGCTTTTTTCTTACATCATCTACTTATCAATGGTGAGAAATGTTCTGGTAACTACTACATGATATTCTAGTGGATATAATTTCTTCCATGGATACGAGACTGATCCAATTTGAAGGTGCTATTATAGTTATCTTCATGTTGTCTTACCCGCTTCACCATTTTGTTTGATATGGATTATTAGGATCTTCAGATTCCTAACAGATAATTTCCATCATTCCTTGCTCCTTATTACTTTCGACCATAAATATGCCTGGACAACTTCTGCCTACTTTAGCAGATTTATTTTATAATAACTGAACTAACACATTTCTCAATGTCATATTTTTAACGTATTAAGGAATTTGCACAAAGGCAATTTATTTGTTCATAGCTTAATGTCCTGTAGTTTGTAGTCATTAAAAAAATAAAAATTCTTTCATCGGATAAGTAATCAGTAGGGAGGCTTCCGTTAATAAACTTTTTCTTTTGATACTATGGCAGTTCTTCCTGTGACTACTCTATGCATACTAGAAAGGCATAGTCCATTCCGGAAGGAAATGTTTTGCAACTGTTAATTTATAGCCACACTTAAAGATAAATTTATTGAAATAAAGGTACTCTCCGAGATTGAGAAACTCTTCAAAATACATTACCTATCTTATCCATGTTGAACTTCTTATCTCTTTGTTTCATTTTTCAGTCTTCTCTCAAATATTGCTATTCGTTTTTTTAACTTACTTTCCAATTATTTTTGATACCACGACAGTTCTTCCTTCCTGTGACTACTCTACGCAAGCGATTAGAATCATTTTGCTTTGAAAAAAATGTCTTTCCCTAATTCCCTTACATGTTAACTTTTTCCCGTTAAAGAAAATGATCTCTTTGGGTAATGTGAAGTGCAAAAAGTGTGTTTGATGAAGATCATTACTCCATTGTTTCATCTAAATAGATTACAGCTATGCTTATGATGAATATTTAAGAACAAATCTCTTTTATCTGCGCTTCTGTTCTCTAAAGATTGTTGAGCAAAATTCTCATTTTACTGCTTTATGTTTCAAAACTAACATTGTAATGCTGGTTGTGTGTTACCAATGCAAAGCATTCACTTCTTAGGTGGAAGAGAAAATTGAACATTCAGATAATTTAGGCTAATCAATCCTTGTTGAAGTAATTACTGATTTATGTCTCAAACAATGTTTCAGTTTTTGGTTCGGCAACTCATTAATAAAATAAAATAAGCGATTAAGGGTGTAGCAAATGTTTAAATAATACTTTTACTCCATATGCACATTTATTACTCTTCAATTCGGAATAAGGCTCATTTTGAATTAGTTCAGCTTGTCAAATAAGTGAAAAGATGCTTATTCGTCCTTCTTTAACATTTTTAGGCAGTTCGTTTGTATGGTTTTGCATAGTGATTTATTTCCCCAAAATGCTTCTATATCATCGATGTCTCAGATTTTAAAATGATCGAAACTGGATTATTCTGTCAGTTTTTGCAACATGTCGGATTTCCACATAACTTACTCTGCGACCATTTTTTGCTAGACAACAATAACGTGACATTCACTGATACAAAGAACGTGGCTACGGTAGCTGTTCTGGATAATGTGGAGACAAATTTGCCCACTGTTGTAGCATTTGGCGCTATGCATATATGCGCCAGCAATCAGGTAACTTCCCAAATTATTCTAATTCAATAAAGTTCTCAAACATCATTTGTGCAGTGTATACTCAATGTACTAAAATATTTATTGAGCCGAAATTTTGTTAAATCCTCAGAATCTTACACCAGAGGATGTTTTCTAGATTGGAAATTTAAATTATTTAAGATTATCTACCAACTTAAGTGTCTAATCGGGTTATATTTGTAGATACTTATGGTTAATTTATCGTCCAAAACGAAGGATGAGTTTTCGCTTTTGATCAATGTTTCTGACAGTATTACTAGTAGTACTCTCTGTTAGGTTCTAAATATTTATCGTGCTTACCAAGTACAGATCTAGAAATTACAGGCTTATCTCATGTTCTGTAAATGTGATTTGAAATATGCAACGAAATCAGTGACTATTGAAGGATGCGAACAAGATGAATGTTGTGTTAAGATCGATAAATGTCGTCAGCGTTACATGAAAGTACGTTTTGTCCCTGTCGGTGCTCTTTCACTGCTTTTGGTACCGTGATCAAACATAATGTACGGCTGATGACATTTTCCAGAATGGCAGAATGCCTGGAAGCTGAATGCAGTGTGTTTTCGGTTGTTGGTACAACTGTATTCCGGACATGGGCCGGCATTCTAATCTTTTGATCGAACTACTAGATAGGTTGTCTATGGTACCGAAGACATTTAACCATTCTTCAAAATTCTAAAATCAAAATCACATTGTCCATTACTAGAAGAAACAATTTGTAGATCAGCGGTGTATGGAATAAAGAGATTGACTATTCGAGATTGCCGATATATTCTAGTGCATTTGAAGAACGCCGACAACAACATTTACTTGTTCATGTTTATGAACAGCTGGTCAATGTCACATTGAAAACACGCAAAATGGACGTATACAAAAATATCACTGTCGATTTGTACGACACTGACTTGTTCGTTTGGTTATTTCATTCCACCCTTAAAATCAATAAGAATTACATAAGAAGCCAAAAAAGTTTGAGATATATTAAAGCAACTCAAAGAACAAACAGTCTTCTAATTAAACTTAAATGAGAAATCTTTGCTTCCATGGAAAATTAGCCAAATGTTTTATAATATTTCATTTACAAGTTGAGATGTTATTAGCTTTGCTTAATTATACCTGTTTCAGTACTGAGAAAACTCGTCAGCTTTTTAGAGATTTGATGGGATTTATAGTTGCTGACAAAACACGTTATTTCCAAATTACCATTGAAAAGTAAGTTTCTTCTTTAAAAAAAAGAACTTGGACGACTTGACGATATATTGCAGACCTAGGCGATATATTTCAGAATTGTAATTTTTCAAAATATTTATCATAATTTTTCTCCTTTTATTTTAAAACTTTTCACGATAGATCCAACTTGCAAACAGTTACCAAACGGACAAGAAATGAAGAAATGACGTATATGGAACTGAATCCTAAAAATGAACTCTATTTTTTCGAGTACGATTCCATCGTTTCTTTCATGAATCGGCACGATTACCTCGAATTCTTGCATCGTATAAATGGAGTATGTATTTGTGAATTTTTCATTTCAATTCTATTTTAATCAAAAAATGAAAATGAGCGAATTTGTTTTCAACCTTCAAGTCGCTGACGATAAATTTATGATACATCGCAATAGCCTTATAGACTATTATATCATTGCTTCTAGTGTCTACATTAGTAATGATGTCTCATAAATGGTATAAACGATATCAAGCACATTGCAGGTGTTAGGTATATTAGCCATTGAAAAACAACAACCGGTTGGTTATGTTCTCGCTTTCAACAACCATATTCTTCAATGTTATGCGAATACTCCCGAAATAGCTTGGTAAGAAGTAATACTGTTTAAGTAAGACTGATTACTAGAAGACTTAGTGATAACTTTCATGAATGTTGCAGTGGTCTGATTTGGAAGCTGAGTGATAAGATGTCAGATCAAATCCCAATAACAATGTCCATGCGTGAATGCAATTACTGGATTTGCGAAGAACTTCTGAATAAAGCACGACAAATAAACCGTATTCATCGTTTCCATAGTCGCATACTTCCCACTCATGTTAAATGGGAAAATGTATTCTTGTTGAATATTGGTGCTCATATCTTTTGAATGTCTTTTTTTCTTCTGCACGTTCGTCATATTCCTCTCACGAAAATGAAATTAAAATGGACGAAATACCATATTTCAATTGATCTCTCCATTTCTGTTTTTTATGCATATTATTACGACAGCAAACACTGTCTTAATGGTTTGTTCTCAAAGCCATTTTCATGGTTGTTTTTTATTCTTGTTATTATTCATATTAAAAAATTGTTATTATTCATATTACTAAAACAAAATCTTTGGATTCTTTCTATCGATGAAATCGTTAAAGAAATATGAAAAAAATTATTGCAAAGCAGCATCGAGTACGAACTTGAAATTCGAAATATCGTTATGCGATGCAGAAGAAATGAAATCGATAATTTTGTATTGCTGAACTGCTCAGTGCTTTAGCGCCACCTCTCCTATTAAGTGAAAAAAAAATTACTAGTGATACGAAGAAAACTTTGTCCAATTCCAGGTTTCTAGTTATTGAAAGGAATAACAGTGAAAGCTAGTGATTTTATGGAGTTAACTTTGAGAAATACTAGAAATTTATCCGATTTTAGTTAACTTTTATCTATTTGCATATGGATAATAGGCAATGTGGAACAAATCATCCCCTTGTTACAGTGTACTTAACGCTTCTGACCCGAATTTCATACTTCCTCACAAGTATTCCAAAGAAATCGTTGCTATATTGCGTTAAAATTAGTACCATTTATGGAATAAAGTTACTTATAAAATAGGATAGTTCGCTTGCAAATCTACCTCTTCCTGTTTTTTCGGTTAGGTGAAGAAGTTTCACTTTAGTCGTTCTATTACAACGGAACTTTAGTAAGTGTCATAAGGTTAGAATTCCAAATTGAATCAAAGACTAGTCCCCTTTGATGATTTTCCAAAAGGCAAAGTTTTACACTTGCGAATTTGAAAATGATAGCTATAAGGACTTTCTCTCAGCAATTCATTCAGGATTTTTAAATTTTTAAATGTTTTCAATGAAGGAAAAGATTAAATTGGTAATCAACAGCTGCCATGAATCCCCACCATTATACATACTCCTTTGCTTGATTTTACATTCGGGTTCTGCATACAAATTGAGCTTCTTTGGGAATAAAAACCTGGAATCACAACCTCTTACGAATACAAGAGTTGCTAATTCGCTAGGTGCTACGTTTTAGAATTCTCTCAGCAGTTAATTTTTTTTACTATTTCAAAAAGGGAGAAAGTGAAACATTGCACTTTTACAAAATGGAAATCCATACCCAGTGAACTTCTTTATGTGATTCAAAAACCATTTCTCAAACACCGCATACATAGATCTCCACTTAGCAAAAACATCTACGAGACAACAGATTAGAAATATAATCCGAAGAGTGAAAAACTCAAGTAAGGTTTACTTGCATTTTTGCACATGAGCCTTAGCTCACTTATACAGAACAGTATCACAAAACTGTGTGACATAAGTTAACAAAAAGGAACAACGAATTATAGCCGTACACTGAACTGTCCTTCCTCCAAATCCCGAACAAGCTTTAGTTGATAATGAGCAAGTGGAGCAATTTCAACTGGTACGACAGTAATACGGATGCATTGAATTGGTCGAATAGTGGTATCGAGCAGTAAGTAACAATAATCGCCACAGCGAACATCTTCAAAAAGAACATCTTGAGCGATACTGCTCAAGAGAAGCCGACTCGTGCCATCCTCCACCTCCAAAGGTTCAACCGATACAATTCGAGCGAACACACAAGTCCATCCATCCAAACGACAAAGAGCCGACAAACAATCATCACGGTATACTTTCATATTGCTTTCGTCCAGAAATCCTGATATTCGCGCTCTTACCATCAAGAAAACCTATCTTCTCTATCAAGACATTACATCCTTTAAAAAAAAAGTAGACATGAAAAAATTTCGGCTAGCATAAAAAAAATTAGCTCACAAACTGAAAACTTACTTGAAACGGTTATTGTACGATCTTCCCCAATCTTCACAACAAACAATGTAGGACAATGATGTCAAAAACCAAACAACAAAATAACTGCTTACAAAATAACTGTTGATTTCCAAAAGTTGTTTCCTGGTATCAAAAATGTTAAAACATTTGAACTGCTTACGATGATTTCCAAAAATTGTTTCCTGGTATCAAAAATGTCGAAACATTTGAAATCATTTAAAACTTAGAAAACCAGTAAGAGAGATACACAACAAATCTAACAGTTCATTAAATCTGTTTATTTGAAGAAATTATCACAACTTGATACATCATCTACATGTCGCATACTGATTCGATTGAGCCAAGTAACAATACATATTTATACTTATAAAAATACTTAGCAATAAACATTACAGGCACTTTCATAGAAGCTGTACCACAATTAGAAAGAATAAGAACACCAAAAATCACATTTTCTGTGAAGACTAACAAAATTGACGATAACAGCAATGCGAAAAAAAAAACCCAATAATTTCAAGAATCACATATGAAATGCAATCGAATGAAGTCCTACTCTATAAACATAGCTACAATTGTAGAAATAATTACAACATTATAAGTATTATCACAGAAGGGCTACATGCTTTCATGTGCCGCTATGACTGCATCCCATTTCATTTCTTTTAATGGGGCATAACCATAAGAGTCCCATATTAATTATGCAAAGCATACCAGAAATTAAGAGTTGAAAAAAACCTCAGTATCACATCGAGTTGATTACATGAGATAATGAAATCCTTGAATCAATCGTGAGATTCCTGAGCATCAAACAGGAAATACATTTGGAACAGAAGTGTGGTTTTGCAGTACTTGAACGATTGAAACACAAACGCCATTAAAATATGAAAGGCTTTATTCCAGAAAACACAAATAAATGAGATCAATAGGGTTATAGATTGTCGTTTTCACTCATATTACACCGTCCTCCTTAATGACATAGTTTGAGGTTGACTACAGCTATCAAAAAAAAAAACAATTCAAGTACGCAGAATGTATTTAATTGAAAAACAGGATTTAAAAAATCCTAGTTAATCACAAATTTTTAGCAAGCTCAATTATATTCGGAATTTTCTTTTGCAAATGTTGGAGGATATCAGGTTCTATAGATCGAATAATCATCTGCTCCACGGTGAGCGCTGTTTGGGTATAGGAATCCGCAAAATTTTTTTTTGGAGATTTTGTAGACCACCATTTTGCCCTCAGTCCAACATTACTAAACAGTGCTTCATAAAACACCTGCAAACGCTTAGTTGAATAAATTTCCTACAATGATGATGAACAATCGAATTATATATTTCGTTAAATGATGTGGATATTGGATTAATACGCTGAGACATACAGTTTCAGCTTTTAGTGAACTTTTGTAGTAAAGTCTTTGACTAGTAGTAAATCCCTACATTGAGCACAAGTTCCTGCTTATTATAGAATAATAATGAGCCAAGTTCTTTTCCAAGCAGAACTGATAAGCAAAAATATCATTTAATTTGCGTACGTGAAAAAGAAAACGACCTACCGCATTCTTTAAGAAACATAATGAGTCTGTTGTTTCAAAGTTAGTACAATTTCATACAAAACTTTAGGAATGCAAAATACAGAATCAAATAGTGGCAACAACAGTGACTGTAACAACTGGAAATTGGAAAAAAACGAACCGTTTGTCCAACTTCAACCACATCACATAAACTTTCGGCAAACAAGTTGCCGTTGTTGCCTCCCATCCAAGTTAGAATTGGACATATTACTTCTTCATTGCAATCGTTCTTAACACAAGCCATTAAATGATCTGCCCATACAATTATTCCTTTACCTGACAAAAGTTTGATAAGGGTAAAACGAAAAAAGACATCTGATCTCATAAAGCTCCATAATGGCACAGTAACCAATTTACCTTTCTATGAATGCGAACTATGACGCTATCACCAGTAGCCAAAATGACCACTAAGTGTATCGCATTTCCCTCCTCAGAGAGGACAGAATTGAGAAGATGAACTCTCGTAATTCATGGAATGGAACGCATTGTGACTGATTATATTTAAATTATTAAACCAGAGAACCATATAATTTTTAACGCTAAAACAACAGCAAAATTTTCAGCCCTTTAAAGACTCCATAGGAACTATTTCTATAAGGAGAGCTTCACTGGTAAACAAACTAAGCCATAATTCATGAATCAAAATACCTCGTTTTATATAATCACAGGAACTTTCATTACCACTAACATGCAGCGCAGAAGATGCAGCAGCATTTAAACCGGTGATTTTGCTGGCATATTCTGCAATCCAGTTGCAACCACATCTAGGAGCTTGTGAACGAATGCGAACTATGACGCTATCACCATTAGCCAAATAACTATCCAATTTTGCTACTTCGGTTTGTTGAAAAGCCGCACCAGGAATGAAAACCATACCCAGTTCATCATTGATAGCATATGCATACGTTTCAGTTACTAATGTGATTGTAACAACCTCAAATACCATTGTAAATTTCCAGACAAAAAGATAAAACTTGCTTGGTTGACAGAGATCTTACATCAAACCATTTATAAAATTAATGCTGAATAGTTAAAATCTTGCACCTACACCATAATAAAAGACTAAACGAGGCTTAAAACTTGGAACTATATCAATTTCCAGACATGTTACTGATAGACTTGCGATAAAACGAATTGAATCCTCTGCATGAATTGCTATTTATAACTTACTGCTTTTAGTTTAAATGAGTAATACCTGCTGGAGATTGTTGACCTCATGACATGGCGCCTGATACATGTCGTTGTTCGCTGATGGTGTTACCTGAATCAAAACAACGTTTACTCATGGCTGAACATGAAGATACAATAATCATGAAAGACCACTAATAACAGATCTACAAACATCCGGCGATCTCATTAAAGCGCTGAGTAAATAAGTTCCAATGGAGAAAAACTTAATAGCACCTTCGTAGCTAGCCACTGGCATTCGTTCTTGTCTTGTTGTGGTACGGCTGTGAAATGAACGATGTCACCAGCTTTATAAAAAAGAGTTAAATTTGGACTAAGACAATTTTTTGGGAGAGCCGAACAAGGTGGAACGAACACACAGCCACATTTATCATTTGTTAAATAAGCAAACTTAACATCGACACGAGTTATTTGTCCCGTTGACGAGATCTCTTTTTTTCTCTCCATGAAATCCTGCAACGATAAGGTACCATTTCAAATAAACCAGAATTAAATCGCAAAGTACCAAATGAACCAGAACAGTAACTACCTTAAATTATATACAAAACACCTGTCTTTGCAGATTACATATTATCAGACGAAATGATGGAGCATGCGCACATATATGGTACTTGCCGGCAAACTATATGCATATATATGAAGTTGTACGAAGACAAATTATGAATTTTATTCATCAAATTCAGCTGCAAGCAAGCACCAAATAATATTAATCAGTGGATGAATAATGAATGCAGTGTAACTCACTTTTTCATTACAAGGAAAATGTTCTGAAGTTATGTATGACACTTCCGTCATATTTCGCTCTACTTTCCATTCATTCTAGACAAACTAACGATTTCAACACAATTCCCGTACAAACTCATTTTGTAAAAAAGGGGAAACCGCTTATCCGTAGAAATGTTTTGCTGAAACAGAAACGAAGGGACATGATATAAATAACGTAAATTAGTACAGTCTTTCGATATTATAAACAGTAAAACGTGCTTCCATTATTTAATAGGCTTTCTGTATGTAAACAGTAAAACCAATCTAACTAGTAAATTACTGTTATGTTAGGCAGATAAATAGCAGTTTATATTTCATCAATTGCTATAATGGAACAATCTCCACTCTAAAAAACTTGTAACTAATTGATTCTATAAAATATCAAAATAAAATGTCTATAAGAGATAGGGAAGTCAAGTGCAAGAGAATTACCCGCTCAGTAGCAAACTTCGAAAACAACGAGAATCAAAAGTTATTTGTATCACAATTTTTTTTTTTTTAAATATTCACTACAATAAATCGAAAAAGTTTGACAGACATGCTGCAGTTGAAAATATAAGACTTTTCACATATTGTAAGGAGGTTCCTTTACAATTCCTAACCATGCCTCGGCTCTTTATAACGCATCATGCATTGCTTTCTTCACGCCTTCTACAATATGATGAAATGCTCGCACAGGATCACTGTCCATCGGGCAAGAAGCCCTTATTCGATGCATTGCCATTTCAGAAATCCCGTAGTAGTGAACGAATGCAGCAATAACGACACATATGTGAAACAGCTGATGCGACTGGAACTGAAAATCAGAGCCAAAGGGTCTAATGTTTTAACTCAATTCAAAGGGAAGTACATAGATTGTCCCAACAATAAACTGATTTCTAATTCCAGTATTAATTGTAGAAATATATGGATCTAATTTACGATGTTAGAAAAACATGCCAGGATATCACATTTTCCGGGAAAGAACCGTTCCGGTGTACGCGTAGCATATAATAATGTGCCAAGAATATATAACGCGGCCATTAATAAGAGCCAGTGAAACGCTGCATCTTCGAATAATGTACGCACACCATCGGTGATCATGAAATGCACTGTCGGTACTACTCCTGAAATCAGCTGTGCTATGTTGTGGAAGGTCCAGCAGTTCAAAATTGGAAAACAAAAAAATTTGAAAAATTTTATAGTCGGCATGTCAACAAAGCCGCAATGATCTTGAAAAACACTCGAAATAATAAATCAAACTATAAAAAATTACCACTACATCCCATTGCCAGAAACACGCCAGCTCTGAGCGGTCGATATCGTGATTCGCTAAATTTATCCCACAATGAGACAATTATTGCACCCAAACCCAAGACACAGACCATTGCAATGTAAGTTATTTTCGGCTCACGTCGGCAATAAAATCCGTAATATAGCCAAGGAACAAATGAGCCAATAATCAATAATGATATACCCAGATAATCTAATCTGTAATTAAATATCTGGTACCGCATAACATTCTGTCATACTGTTAAACAAGTTTTGTCTACATTTATATTGAAATTACTAAACTTAAAAAAAATATTAAGAACATACTTGCAAAAAATCCGGACTACAGCAACCGAATGACAGCTAACTGTATGGAAGGTGAATGACATACCAAGGCAAATAATTGCTCCAGCAAAAAAGAATGAGAACACAACTTTCTCTTGGAAACGAATGTCAGTATCTGGCCGCGTCATAAACCACGCAGCCAGCAATGCAAATGCTAGACAACCTACAAAAAATTTCGCATCAGTTTACAGTTAATTAAACACACCACCTAGCGAAGATATGTAAGCGCACTGCCAAAATCCAGTCGATTTCATATCACAATTTTCTGGGTAGTAATTTTTTTTAATTGAAACAACAAATTTTTTTAAAAGAGCAACATATTGTATTTCTCTTCCAACACTTATTTTCCTTCGACTTTTCGCATTCCTTCTTATCGTTTGCAAAAATCACTTCATCAAATGCACAAAGGAGACATTAAAAACTCTCCGCCTACAAACTCGCCATTGTCCTCACTTGGCTATTTTAACTTTCAAATAGCTCAGAAACGCACCAATTAAATGAGTCCAAATATTTCCAGTTTCAGTATGAATAGATAATATGCTACGAAAACACTGCGCAAAGCTTGGCAAAGGTGGCCGATGTCCGTGCCTTAAATACTCGTTATCTTGAAGCCATTCTGGCAAATATTCGAATTTTTGCACACGCCACGTCGCTTCCCAAGACTGCAAGTTCAACTAATAAATACCAAAACTGTTCATATTAAAATGTGATTTAAAACTAAACTGAAAGTATTAATAGGCCTACAGCACTAGAACGATCTACCAGCGCTAGACCACAAAGGAAGCGCTGTGAATTAGTAGAAATCTGGCAAAGGTGGAAGAACAAAAGGAAAATAAAAAACGAACAACAAACATGGACTTTCAATACTGACAAAAATTATAAAAAAAAGAGAAGATCACACTAAACAGACAATTTAATGCGCATTTGCATAAGCATTCTCTTGTCAGTGTTAAAATACAAGAGATTTCATCGTGGTCAACGGAAGCAAGACGAAAAAGCGCAAAATGTGAAAATTGATGAAACTACCTTTTTCACGAATGGTTCTCCGTCATCATCCTGCCCATACTCCGCTTTCACCTCTACCTATAAATATGAAAGTTAATTACTGCTTTACATGGCTGAGCACAAATTAAAAGAGTCCTCGATAAGAATCAACATATAAATATAATAAGGAAACGACAGTAGCTAATGTGAAGTAACCTCCTGATATACCCAACTGATTTCTCTAAGCAACTTGTAATTTACATTTTAGAACATTGTTATTACCTCAAAATGTCCATCATCTTCGCCTTTCATACCATCACTTTCGTCTTTCACACCATCATCTAAGCGCCAATGGTCGCCACGTTTTCGACGATAATGAACACTCGTACAATGAGAGACTTCATCGGAACTTCCTTCACCATTATAGGTGTAACTGTGAGAAAGACAACTCGACTTAGTTCGTGATGGTAAAAATGATTCTGAATCACTTCCTGACAAAGCTCCTTAAAGAAATGCAAATTAAACAAGTATATCTTTCTGAGTGAAGACACTGTAATCAGAACATAAAAATTACTGTTAGGCACAAAATTTAGTGATAACTCACCGTCACCTTCGTCATCTGTATTGGGTTGAGAGGTAACCGTACTTCGAGTAACAACTATTTCAATAGGATCGCCGTGTCTTCCGGTTTTTACTACCTTGAAAATTTTAAAACCATAAGTCTTGAAAAATGACATTTCAAGGGTTAGGAAGATAAAATTCCATACCTATTACGAGAACTCGCAGATCAATTATCATTATAAGGTTACGAAGTATTTTTAAAACTATTTGCCAACTTCCCACATAATTTTGCACATCTCAAAATAGTGGAAAAAAATAAAGCACTGATACGTATACTCATAGTAAAATAGCAACATGAACTTAAAATATTCTTGATAAAAAAATCGCAATTCAATGAGAATTATAAGAGCTGTAAAAATTAATACTTCAACAGTTGTCGATTCTTCCAACAAATGTTCTGGGTGACGTTCACGTAGTTTTCCATCGGTCATTATTTCCTGAGCTTCTTGCAGAGCTTCATTAACATCCAGCAAAAGATTTCCGGTCCTTACCCTATTGCATGATAACGTTGCATCGTTCACTTCTTTGCCATCCATTTGTGTAAATATTTTCGTAGCTACCTCAAAAGCGTTTGTTAATTTATTAAGTACTCTTCTGTCATTACATTAATTAACTCATCATATAGCGAAATTAATGACCAAGAAGGTTTCGACAAATGTCTGCATCATAACTAAAGCACATAAAGATTCTAGAATTACTGATCTGCATGAAAGATGTTTATAAGACATTAACAAGCCGTAAAGTGCACATCTGAACAACACATTAAGTTAGTATGTCTGAAAATCACCATAAACTTCGAAATAGACAATCTTCTAGCCATCAGCACTTGCAATAAAAATCAGTCAGTGGTAATGTACAAATCGAATTGTCGCGAATTTCTTCGCAAAAAAAAAAAAACTATATCAATGTTCCGTTGGAAGTGGAAAATGTTAAAATATTTGCTGTCAGTGAACAGTGATGCGCAGTACTGTAGATGAAAAGGGAAGGGAATTTTTGTTCTATCGATTTTTTTCTTCTTTACAACAACATACATAGGAAGGAAGAAATCTGGAAAAAAAGCCTAATTATGATGATGCCTCCTGTAAGAAAAGATAAGGAGGATAGGCCTGTATACTGAAATATGGTGTTCCTCTGTATTTCAGTATATCAATACTATGGCATCGAAAGGATAAATGGCTTTATTGATGATTTTTAATGCACAACGACAAAAGTCACTTTAATAAATCTCTCGAACCAATTCTAAGCATGACAGCATAATTATCCTTAGTTTGGTTGACAACAAACTTACAAAATTTGAAGAGCACGCAACCAGAGAAATTGCGTAGACGGAATCAAAAGATAAACATACTACCACCTCCAAACTTCACACACATTCCGTTGAGAAGAGCATAATTCACTTCTCAATTCCCTAACGGACCCTACTAAACGGATACAATAAGCGGCACTTGTAAGCCAAGCTCATAAATTCTCGGCTGTTACCACCCCGCTATTTCCACCCAATAATTAGCGAATCCTGAATGAGGTTAAGAGGGCGAAAGTGTGCAACACTGATGTGTCTCATGTCACTCTGCCTGAACCCACCATGAAATTCGAAATGTATTACGCTCAAAATAAATGAGTCATAGGGAAGGTGACGTTTGACATGTGAAGAAGGGCAGAGTGTGAAAAATTAGTGAGTAATAGGAGGTAGAGTAGAAATATTACATTAAAGCGCCATCATTGAACTCTGTGTAGGAAGCTGCTAATTTTGAAGAGGTATTTTGGTCTCTTCTTGTCGCACAATTGATAGGTCTGTTACTTCTGCTTCCATGGATTTAAGATCAAAATTGAATGCTTTACTGTCTTCTTGATGAGCTTTAATATGTAAACAGAGATGGTGAATCGGTGTATCTCTTGATTTCTACTTCCAGTTCGGCGATTTCGTTTCAATTTATACTGGAATTGCTTATTATTTCAAAGAAAGTTGAACAATTCATTGATTCCCATCTCTTAAATCACCATCCAACCAATGAACTTTTTAAAACTTTCTCCCGTATGATCAGGTGAACGGTGCAAGTGATGCTTAGTAGGAAGGAATGTTAATACAACGGATGAATCTTCCCTTATTCCTCCTTCACGTTTAATAACTGGACTATGTGTATAGTCTTGCAAATAGCCAGTATTATTAGTTACGACATTTGTTTGTTCTTTCTTCTCACTTTTCATTTCTTTTTTTCTACCATTTATCTCCCTCTTCTTCTTTTACATTCTTTCTCTAATTAATACTTTAATGATCTGTTGCTTTATTAAAATTATACCAGTTTATAATCAGCTTGTAATAGGGTTTTCATTTTAATAGCGAATCATCTCCACAAACAGTGCTTGATTTGTGCGGTTAATCTTCGTAGAAAATGAGGCAATGATCGAAAAGATGGCATACAATGTGCGATAAGTACTCATTACGCTGATAAGAATTTTTGGAACTGATAAAGTAGCAAGGAAAGCAAAAGTGAGATATTTATCAAATGTGTATCTCAGAGAATTAAAAAGTTCTTTTTGTTGATCTGTGAAATACAAACATAGAGAATGTGTTGCACTGAAGATCATGCAACAAGTATAGCCCAACATAAAGGACGAAATCGTGTAAAGAAATTAAATTTGATACAATGAAATCATTTCGGTGAAAGGATATGTGACTGGTTTTTTTTATTCACAGCAATAATCTTTCAGAATATCATTGTTACTAACAATGCCAATAATGTGTTAGATTTAAAAGAAGCAGTATTTTTCAATGGATGTCAAGAAAGGGCAAATACTGCGATGTTAGAGCTATTATTAAAGATCCAGATTCAAATGAATACTCAATCGGAATGAAACTTCAAAACACAATGGTGAAAAGGAACGGTAAAAAATTTCTTCTAATAAAGAAAAAACAAATTTCCCTTTCCATTTCGCTGTTGAATTTTGAAATTAATATGCATAATCATAATGAGAGTAAAATGAAGTAAAAAATTGTGAAGTACACTTCATATATCACAGGTATATGTGCATTGAAACATTACATCTGTATATTATTACCAACATGTCATGTATCGCATTATTTTCACAATTTTTAGATCATGCTTCCCTTCTAACACTACATTTTGAGTGATTTAATCAGTATCGTTTAGTTTTGAAATAATTTTATTAGAGTTTCCCATCGTTCGCTTCAACAGTCACCGATCAACTGAAGCATCCTGCTTAAATAATCTCATTCTGTAGTTTTTCAGCAATAAAATGCTACCAAAAACATTGTTTTAAACATTTATGGGTTCCACAAATCAAAGTACAAGACTGATTTAAACTGCGAAAGTACATTATTTTAGTAAATTATTTTAATAAACTGTATCTTACATGTTAAAGTATCAATTAAAATTTGCATCTTAAAGTGATTTCGTATACATTTCTATGCTATTTTGGCTAGTCCATATTTCCAAATAAATGTCATTAATTGTCATATAACATTTTGTTGCAAATTTTCCAACAGAGTTAAGGAATGTTTTATTCAAGATGTGAGAGTGTAAAATAGTCATCATCGCTGGTATTTTTTCAACATCGCGAACGGTATACTGAAAACAGATGCAGAAGATATGTTGAAAGCTTTTCCAGCTTTCTCCATTACTAGTGAATTATCAATAGTTTCGCTGCATAGAATGGATCCCAGGAAAATGTCCGACACCAAATACAGACACAGTTGCCAACTTTGTAGAGACACATCTGTTCGAAATGTCCCCTTACTTTGGACATTGGTCATCTGTCATCTTTGTTATCGAAGCATCAGTCTTGATCTTTGATTTTCAGCTTCAGCATTTCGTTTACTACTCAAAAATCGTTTTTGATGTGCATCATTTGAGAAGCGAAGATGATTTATATGATGGCTCTGACAGTAATATTCATACTACTTCATCAGTTCAGTATGCAGAATAGTACCTGAAGAGAGGGAAAGTGGAGACTTAACTGTACAATACTACTTTTGTTATGGATATCCCGGGCCTTGGCTACATAATCCATTCCCAGAGGTCAGAACAAGCAACCTATGTACACATGCAATGTTGAACTGCTCTTTCATACATGAGTCATGAGTCTTCGATGTAACGACTGGTTACCTTACCACCATATCAAAATTGAGGATTAAGGGCTGGATAAAATTTACGAAAAAACAGAAGGGTAATCGACTCATACTTACTCAAAACAGAATGAAAACAGTTCAGTACTGCACGTTTGTAAACATTGGAAGTACGTGCGGATGATTAAAGGGAAGTAAGTATACGTTCCGCCTAAGGCCTTGTATGTATGTATGTATGTGTGTGTTTGTGTTGTGTGTGTATGTGTATGTGTATGTGTGTATGTGTGTATGTGTGTATGTGTGTGTATGTGTGTGTGTGCGGTGGAATGCTCATGTCACATAGGGAGGGTGAGTGTGACATTGAACAGTGCCATAGGAAGAATTTGCATCTGCAGGAGCAGAAGCAGGAGCAGCAGGGACCGGAACAGTATCGATCGTGGCTGTATGCAGTGGTCTGGTCGCTGTACCTCTAACCTACGCTTACTTGAGTGAACCATTCATCATTGTGCCTCCCGGCGACAACTGCAAATCACAACTGTAGCTGCTAGTTGAACATTCCAAGCACGCTGAACTAAAACCCCTTTCATCCTATCGCATTTTTTCATTTTTGTATTTGTATTTCTAAAAGTACCAAGTGCCGAGACTTGCTTGCATTCTGTTCTATCACTGTATCATTCGTCATCTTATCATCAATTTATCGTCTTTCAAACGTTGGCGGACTCCTATTTTGCCTCTATTGTTATCGATCTAATATCATATTTCTTTATATAATACCTTATTCAAAGATCCAAATGAAATAGGTGAAATGCTAAACGAATGATTATAACTTTCAGTGTTCAAACCAGCGCTTCTACATAGACATATGGAGAAAGCACAGTTAAAAAGACTCCTTTCGAAAAATTAAATTCCCGAATTCACGCTTAAACAGACATCCGTGACAAACCTATTTATGTATCGGCTGGCATTTATCTATGATATATATTTTCTTTTTATTTATTTCTCTACATTTCAGGCCACAATGGATTTTTAGGGATTAAAAATGTATCAAATGAGAAGGCAAATTTATTATAACATGGAGATTTAGTTTTCACTATTTTTGGCAACCCATCCAGTGATTGGATAAAACTGAATAATTGTTTAAATCCAGAATATGTCCTAGTTAAGACTGCAGTTCTAACATGATTTTTTTCTAATTTAAACTTTTGTATGAACTGGCAGGTATCAAAATAATGCTAAAATGACATCGTTCTGAAATAAAATGATTATTGGACTTTGCAAGTTCAGTAACATTTCGCTTCTTCTGGGGATTTTCAAATGTTTAACATATGGAAAATTAAAATTGAGCTAAGCACTTGAATGAGATTAACCAATGGTTCGCTTTATGCTAAGCACTTGAATGAGATAAACCAATGGTTAGCTTTCGTTAATGTCAAGTCTGCGTAATTTCTGTTGGTCACTTTTATATGCATCGTATCATTGTCGATTCCTTCCTTCGAATAAAGTGGATGCCTGATTCTGAATGCCTAAGTAGCACTCAGGAGATTCTCATCAGAAAGAATTCTAGAAATTCTTTTAGAAACTACATTTAACGATTTATATGATAAAGGTTAGAAATTGGATTGGATTTCAATAAGCATAAGCTTTGTCAGATCAAGCAAAAGTACACAACCATTCGGAAATCATACAAATTCCACTATATCACTGTATTAGCAAGCAGCATTAGTAAGCATGACATTCTCATATTTTATGTAATTTATCATGTTTAAGAAACTTGATAAAACTGGATATAGCAAAATTTACAACTGGACCTGGACTGGTCGTTTCTTCAAATTTGTTCAATTATTTGGTGAGATGGTGTGACTGCTTTTGTGAGTAATGTGAATTGAATTGTGAGCCCCAAGGGCGTTTCTTCACATCAGACTGCATACATCCGCATGCATTTGTGCCATAGTATCGTTGTTGTTGCAGCGTCAAGACTAGCAATTAGCATATGTGCAGAAAGCACTGTACCCATCCTTCTGATACTCTCTTCTAGCCTAACTGTATGAATATCATCCTGAATCGGACAATAATCTTCAAACGCGTTTTTCTTCATTCAACAATAATAACTGGGATTTTTTCCCTATTTATTTCCAACATAGAAAATACAGACTTCAATTTATTATCACTTTAAATTTATGAAGAGTTCAATCAACCAGTGGGAACAATGAGGTATTTTTTGCCAATTCAGGTTATTTCTGCCGTGCCGAACCCTGAAAATATGTGGAAGTAGATGCAATAAGCACTCGAAGATTATCACGTAATCAAGTTTAATACGTCTTCTATTTTACGTGAGCCAATGCGAATTTCTTAACTGCTTGGAATTTTTCCCTACCATATTTTTGCTCACTTTCTACCGTTTTTACTTTTTTCCCTATTTCACTTCAATTGAGTCTAACTTTTCCTTCTTATTAATTCATTTTCTGCTCTATTTGTTTCGAAATAGAATGGAAAAATACGATATAAGTTCATAGCAAAAAGTCATCTTATTTAAAATTCCTTTGCAAATAGAATAAATGTGTTCCTTACAAAATTATAAGAGCTCAGGCTAGATCAGTCCTGCAGTAGCTATATTTATCACATAGTCGTTTCTCGATAATATTGAGTTATTCGTTGTATTGAAATTCATGCAATTCTCATTTTTAAGTGCGCATTTTCTTGGCTTCTGTGATTTCAAGCTTTCTGTGACTTTTATTTGGATTTCTTTTTTGCCTTTTTTTCATCATTCAGATCTTTAATTAGGGATAAATTAATTAATATTGGCTTTACATGATGCACCTGAAGCTCTCATATTTAGAAAAATTCTTACACTTCCGAAGAAGCGATCAAGATAATTGGATCCTCAGAGTGCTGAGCCATTTTTGCTATGTAGGACTAGAACTTTCATCCATTCACAAAAATGAACCCTTTACTTACGCACGTCCCTAATATCAAGTTGTTGTATTGACCTTCTATATCAGTCGATTCCTTGACTATTTGAACTTTAACAAAACAGTATTCCGATCATGCCGGCAGTCACTTTATGTACTTTCAGTCTTTAAGTTTAGTCTGGGATTTTTTTGTCATTTTGCATGGTACAAAACAATACCAGTTGTTTTCTAAGTTTTATTTGAAACAGAGATCGGAGGTTTGCATCATGAAGATGTGGAAGGATGTTTTTTCTTCAATCAACGTGACATCATCCTGTTTCTTGCTTTACTCTATACATCTGAGTTGATAATTTTGTCTTTTTGTCAATTACTAACATTATTTGAATGTTATTAATAGCAGTGTAATATAATATCTGACTGTCCTGACTCATTCTACAGTTTTGAATACTGTTGAATTCAGGAGTTTGCTCTTTCGAAATTCTTATTTTAGTATTGGTTATGTTTCGTCCACTTCCTTCATTAGATCGCATTTATTCATTTTCGTCTGTAAGTTAGAGAGCAACTTACTATATTTAACATTTTCAGTGAATTGCATCTGTGCTGAGTTCCTGTATGCATGTGATGGTAATTAAAGTCTTTCTCGTCTTGATCTGCTTATCTTTCTTATGGTAAGCAACTACTGTTAGCATCATCTTTTCATCCCAATAATATCATTCTATCTTATGAAAGAATACTTTTGGCCATATGTTATTGTAGCCTTATTTGTCAAGCATTATATATAATATTTAGTTTTCAGAAAATTATATATAATATTTGGTTTTGCTCTGAATATATTGAAGCGGATGATGCTTCCATCATCTCATGAACAAACCAATGAGACAGCCTTGCTTGGTCGACAAATTGCGGGTGCACAGATTGATCGAATTGGTATGCTGTTGCTTGAGAAGAAAAGCCTGGAAAGGAAACGAACTGGTAGTGCACAACTATATGATGACAGTGATTCTGTGATTTTCTCGAAACGCGCAAGAACGGTTAAAGAAACACTGTTTAATTTGTTGCCAGTTTTGTCTGCCCAAAATAACTGTAGAAGTGTGAGGAACGAAGGCAATCTAATACCGCTTAATAGGACTTCGAATTACAGTTTTGGCCAGGTTGGAATTATTTTGCTTAATGTTTGTGCTTCTTTGCTATGCGCATAAGGTAAATATGGCTCTCTAGTTATCTGCGCTTCAATGTTTCTCACTATTTGTTTTAAAACGTTTTACTTTCATGTAATGACTTCTAATTACACACATCCTAAATTAATCAGATATTGTTGCTTTTTCGAATTTTAAAATCTGTTCAAATTAGCCATCTCTATCCATGGAATGTATATAGGCACCTATGCATATAAGAGAAATACTATAAAATTTAATACATATGCTAGTAATTTTTGATTTTGCTTTGCTACTAGCTAAAGGATTTGTATAGGTCAAGGTGAAGAACTTTGCAATTTTTACATGTTTGTAGAATTCTTTAAAGACTCTTCAGCTTCCAAAATTCTTTAAAAATTTTTTATCATCTCAAAAAAATGCGAAAAATTCTCTTGCAGACAGCAAAGGTTCCTTCAACGATGACATTGCTAATTACTATTGCTAAATTATATTCATTTTTACATAAATTGGCAATTTCTATACAGCATGAAGTGTTGAATATATTAATTTAGTATTATGTTTTCACTGAATTATTTTAGAGTAGTCCTGCAGCGCTGAGTTCAAATGAATCAACTGGTGATGAATGCACTGAAGACCTTGGTGATTCTGGTAAAAAAATAACCTTTTCAATGAGCGATTTTCTTTAATATTGCATTGTAGATGTTGAGAGTTTAAACTTAACAACGATATCTTTTTAAAATTTTCATTTGAAATGGAATGCGCGTATATGAGGTCTTTACAGTCTATAAGAAAATTTTATTTGCCTATAGACAGTTATCAACATGACAAATGGCAATCAAATAGCCTTAAGGGGTAATTTTATGATAGAATTGGGACATGGAGATGGTGCTATAACGGTATTAGTGCTACTTTCGCATGTTTTTCGACATTGGAAAGCATCGATCATAAGTGGAAGAATGGAACCGGCAATTCTTAGAGTTCCAATTTTGTTCTTCGTTTAGGTTCGATATCTAGCTCACTAGTTTTACTAACGAATGTTTCGCCTTCAACATCAGCGCAAACATTCTGCTCGGTACCTGGGAGGTTATCATTATTATGTGCATCCAGCAAATACAAAGTTAGCGTTGCGGAGGTTTGTTTATTGGGCCTTATTAATTAATCTTACAGTCACTTCCATGTTATAATCATCATGCTTAAAAACCTTTAGTGTCATTGACTATTGCTTTAAATTGATGCAAAAAAAGAAGAGGAAGTTGTAGAATGAAAAAGCTGATGATTCTTCTTGTATTGGCAAATACGCTCTTTATACAGCAATATCTTCACTACTTTTTCTGGAAGTTTTGAAAATTTCTTCTGCAGCATATTCATTTCAGAAATCTTTGTTTTTTAGAAAACAAGAGTCTTTCTTCCTACATGTCCCTCTTTCACTCCTTCATGACCTCATTTCCATATGGTGATAATTTGTACAATATTGCTCGGCAGTGATTGATCACGAAACAGCATCACACACAACAACATCATTTAGTCATGAAACAGCTAATAGTGAAAATATGAATAAAAACTATATAACTTGGTTATGTTGTTGACGAAAGTTTAAGCAACCTACGAACTCTACAGTGCACTCTAGTAGACTGAGCGGAAATTGATTCGTACTGCTAATTCAATAACTGTTTTTTATTATTCAACCATTTTCCGTCTGGAAAATGGCCCCGAAACTTACTGTAAGCGTAACAAAACCACAAATGAAAATTTTAAAATCGCTATTTCCACAAATTGTCCCATACGTAGTCAACTCTCAAACGAAATTGTGTTTTTATTTTGCACAGCAAGATATCCGATGATTAATTCCCAAATGTCAAAATTGCCCATCCGTTTTTATATCGCTTTTTTGCTATTAGAACCACATCACGTCACCTAACTATTTCAGTTCCTCTTCTCCTCTTATACTTCCATTACACATTTGCGTCATCTTTTCAGCGGTTACTCATACTGTCTTTTCTCCGCATATCATGTTTATGCGACATGTGTCTATTGTTACCAAGATCGCAATTATATTGCAGCAAATACTATACCGGCATCTGCTAAAAACACACACAAAAAAATCCATTTCCAAAAAGGAAGTGTGGTAAGATGATGAATTTTTAAAGCTGTTATTCAGTTTATTACTGTTGTTCTGATAATTTTCTCATCTTTTTGCAGTTAACTCGGAGGCTTTCACCTCCAGAATCACTGAATGCATCATTATTAGGTGGAATATTGAGGAGGTTGGTTTTAGGATTTCATGCTCTCTGTTACATTAATCTTCTTTTCGATCTATAAATTTTAGTTTTTTTTTCCTCTACGTATTGAAATTGTTGATGACGGATTTTATTGCTTTTAATTTTCTAGATATTTTCTATAACTGTACGGTTGTTTCTATATTTTACCAATATTTTCACTTTTGTTTATATATGTTTTCGCAGAACAATGTTTTTTGAATTATTTCAGTATTTCAGGGCTAAATCAAAGAATGGTGGACAAACGCTGCGTGATCAGTTAGAACGTATTGGCTTAAAATTGCCGGCGGGACGAAGGAAGTCAACAAATGTAACTTTACTGACATCTTTGGTAGAAGGTATATAAGTTTCTGATGCTTACTTGCTTCCCAAAATAATGCACTTTATGAAAGCCAAAAGTGTTGCTCCTACTTTCACTTTTATTAAAAAAAAAGCAAGCTGTGAAAAGAAGTAAATTTCAACTAATTTGTAGGAGAAGCACAACATCTTGCGAAGGATTTTGCAAATGCATGTTCAACTGAATTTCCTGCAAAATTGATTGCTCAATGCAGATTGAAAAAATGTGATACAATGTCTGTTATGGAACTGGAAAAAGAAAAGGAAAAATTTAGAGCAGCAAAGTTTGTATTTTTAGTCTTCAATTCTTATTATAAGATAGAACTGCATGATTTTTCTTAATTTTATTATACTTCTTGTTTTTGTTATTAATGTTTTAATTCAGGCAATTGCTTTCTGGTTTTATGGATATGTTACGGCAGGACAATAATGCCTGGAATAAAAAAGATAATAATATGCAAAGCTCAATGGAAAAGTTCTCGCTAATAACTCACACTTTTGGCACGCCGGCAATTTTGGCAGGCAAGTTTTTATTAAATTTATGTTTGATTTAAATCAAACGCATAAAATTTTTCATTCAGAAACTATGATAGATGCTTGAATTACAATGGGAGAGTTGATTTAGAATACGTTTTTTTACAGTTCTTTTTAGTTTATATAGTAGATTAAACTTCGGGAAAGCAATGGGCTTAATTGGTGTTTTAGCTAAATGTAAATTAAATGTAGACCAAGGAAGAAATTTCTGAAGAATAAGTGACAACGTTGAAGATTCGAAGTCTGTTTGATTTTGATCTACAAAGGGGCTTATTTTTATTGTGTATACCATTGAAAATTCCTTGACATAGCTTCAATTGGCATTTTTCCGGTCCATTGTTTTGATACTTTTGATCAATTCACGCTTTAATCTTGTATTGAATATTTATAGGATTATCAACATTTTTGATGTATGTACAAGAATCATTAGATATATTGTCGCAACATAGTACGATGACAGAATTTCAAGTAGATAACTTTTATGGCTCAAGCGTCTTTTGTTCACAGCAAATCAATGGCGCATGTTTGAATGATGAAATAAAGAAGTTTGGTAATCGAAACTAGACAATAAATGTTGTTTAGTGAATGCGCTTGTTATAGTTGTTTATATCAGGATTGTTTTACACCTTTTTTTCCTATTCATTACTATCTCGCGAATCTTTCTCGCTTTCATTTTGTATATATTGCGCGGGTTTCATTTTTTTGGCATTTTTTTTAGATATATCTAATATGGAAATATTTTTCATGTTTTGACGTTTTCAGTTAAATCAAATTTCCCACCAAATCAGCATATTACACTAATGAAGCTTAAGCTAAGTGAAAAAATGAATAAATAAATGAGATATTCAATTTTTGGTGCACCATAGCGAGCTAACAAAGTTGTTATTCAGCGGAATTTTTCCAAGATAATTTTGCGATGCTTTTTAGTATTATTTATGGCGTTTTTAGTGTTGCTATTTTTGATGTGACACGTATATTTATTTACATCAAGTTTCGATATTTTTCTCGTTACGAAGTTCGATTATGCGTTTGCTTTTGAATATCAGTACTATCAGTCATGCTGTTATCCTATTAATTGAGTGCTCAGTTTTTGCTTTTTGTTTTCAATATTTTTGTAGGTTTTCTTCATTTCATTATTTCGTTTTTGCTTTAACTTTCCGAAACGTGTATCTGAGTAGTTTTTCACTTGTGCGTGTCATTTAGATGACATACTTCCCAATTTTTATAGCAAATACTTTTTTCCTGGTTTTATTTCTGTAAATTTACCTTGATGAAATCTTTCAAATTAGCTTCTCAATTATTCAGTAATTTAGAAAACTAATTTTAAAAGATGGTTGTGTTCTAATAATGAGTAAATTCAGGGTATGTTTAGCAAGAGAGATAAAGTGTTTCAAGCATGTTTGTTTCAAAACGTTCGTGTCAGCATTAGTCTTTGATTAATTTGATGAAGGTGTGGCAGTGTTATCGATCAATCGGTCAGTGTTGTACTCTCAGTTTTCGACATATTTCATTATGGTAATCCAGTTCGTTCAAATATGGATGTATAAGAAAGCCTGAAATATATTGACAATGGACATCCAGTATCGGACGCATCTGAATTCTCAATTGGAAAGCTCTGGATAGAGGTTCTTGGACAGTATGAGAGTATTCTTGCAGGTAAATGTAATATAAGTATATCATACTGAAAATCTTGTGGATATATTGTGTGGTGCATTTACTAGAAGATATTTACAAGCAAATAATTTTGGTCAAAAATTAATTAGCAGCAGAAAGGATGAAAGGATGTATCTCAAAAAAAGATACATGAATTTTGCAGCGCAGAGCAAATAACGATAATGTATCTCAAAGATGATGATTACTTCAGTCGGAAATTTGTAATGCCCTTCGAATTTTATCATATGGATTATTTAATGTAGTAAGAGGTAGGTGGTTGGTATGATAAGATGAAGACAAAGATAAAACGAAGACTGAGTTTGCTATGCTTTACTTCTGATCACTCCATTGGGACTAAATGTGCTATTTTTTTTCCTGCCATTCATGTTCAGCTATATATATTATTGCATTTCTCCATTTCTCCTCAGTTTTTAACATGCATTCCTCTTTTTTTGCTTCTTTTATTGAACTGTGTTTGAATTTCTTTTAATCGGCCTAACAAAATGCAATATGGACCCGTAAGATAGTAATAGCTATCAAAAGTTATTGTAAAATGACATATTTTCGGGTATATCTTTTATCACTTGAGGTGACGTTTTTCTTTTTTAAATACAACTTATATCATATAATTCCGATAATCTGTTCTTGAAAACACTACCACGGATAATTTATCTAAGTTTTTCTCATAAATCCTTTATCTGGTGCATCGAGTAGTAATATAAATGTTATTATTATATTTAGTATTGGCATCATTTGGAAATTAACATTTTACGTTATCTTTAGCACTAATACCAGCCTAAAATTTTAGTAAACCTTATTTATGTACTTGTGCACCACAACCATAAATCTGGGAGGGTAATCTTTATTCTGTTTTTAGTTAAATGTGGATGATACTAATGAGAGAGCAGATCGTAACGATATAAAAGATTAAATTTTTATAGGTATGGTTTTATCATTGTTGATTAATTCAAATTTATAATATCAATACCCATTGCATAGTAATAATAATAATTTCACACATATAATGGCGGCTTTGGTCATTTTTTGTAAAGCGACATGCATTTATTGCTTCTATAAATATGGCTTTTCTTGGCTTCTATGGCAAATCTTAGATTTTTTTAACGATCAGTAGTGTCGCTAATACTATTGTTAAAGAAGATAGGCACCAATTTGATGAATGAATTTCAGGTGCTGTGATGTAGTGAACATTAAGCAACTTATTCCCTCTCCTACCACTCCATCCCCTATGTATTTTTGACTTGGTGACTTATTGATGTAAAGCATAATTATTCTATAATCAGCTTTTAAAAAAGAGGTAGGAAGGAGGAAGTGGAAATGAAACATTTTTACTCGCGAATGAATCTTCTGAGAAGCAGCTACTTTTCTGTCAATACGGAAATGAATTGCATAGAAATGCTAACTTCAAAGAACCTTAGTGCTATGCTCCAAGACGTAATTTAAGATTCTAATACGATATTAAAAATATTAGTGTCACATCGCAGCCTTAAACCAAAAAGATGCTTATTCATTACTATCAAAGAAGAAAGAAATGTGGAGAATTGCTAAATGAATACAGAAGCGATAGAAGCAATGAAACATTTAATTAAAGGAGCAATACGTTTTGCCATCCATATGTTATTTATTTTGTCATCCGAAACATTAAATTATTTCAACGTAGCATCGATGAATTTCATTACGATAGACGAAATAGCAGTTTTATGAAGTAATTCAAATAGATCGGTGCTTTATTTAAATGCAAGCTTTCATGCTGTTTGTCAATAGGGAAATTCACATTATCTTCATCACTGGAACGAACTTAAAGAGGCTTTCCTTTCCACAGCTTGCTTTCTTATATATCCCCAGTTTTTATGCAGAAGTAATATATTTGGTTTTCCTAGATCACGATCTTTAGAAAAATCGTGCAGAAGTTGAAAACTTCGAATAGAGGATTCAAAAGATGACACTGTCAAATTGATATCTTTCCAGTTCCTTTTTTACACTTATCTCAAATTTTATTCTATTTGGTGAAACTTTAAAAATAGTTAATTTGTGGAGCTAAACCAAAGTTGAAAGTATAGGAAACGAGATGTCTTTAATAGTCGAAAATGTTAGTACTCGAAGTGAAGAGGCTAAGAAAATGTAGCCTTCACTGGGCCCTCAAAATTCTAAATTTATCTTTTATTTGTCTTTCTTTTGTTATAAGCGCCATTTAGTCGTAATAAACTTTGGAAGTTAAAGATGCTTCAATTATTTCACTCCAATGATTTTAAACCATAAATAATGCATATGTACATAATCTTTTATGTTATGGCACTGGAGATATCATCGATAATCCATTTCGCAATCATTCTCTACATAGGCCAACAAGCAAAAAATTCTCTGAAACTTTCCATAATTTTTCTGAAAACATTTAATACGAAAAAAAAGGCATAGCTGTCTGAAGTTTTATTGTTGGTTTCCACCATTAGTTATAGCATAACAATAAATTTTATAAAACTGACGTAGTAATGAACTACAATTTAGAATTTAGTGTTATAAGCCTAAAACATTGTTTGGTTTCAATTCAGTTACAGATAGCTTAATTGATAAATGATTATGATCGTTTAAAGATCACATTCAAATCTCTTTTGGGCTATGAATTGATAACAGTGTTTATTAGTCAATATCAAGAAATTGACGACTCACATAGATGGCAAAATAAATATACATTAGCATCGTTAGCAGTATTAGTGAGTTAAATAAAAATTATTCATATCAAAATTCTCTGATAAATTTGTTAAATATGAATCATATAAGAATGAAATAATTAAAAAAACTGAATGGCTTCATCAACCATTACTACGATTAGTTTCAGACCCATTTGCCATAACGAACCCATTTCTGCTGATAAGTCATACTGCGAGTGACAATAACGATTTCTAGAACTGCGTAGTTTTTGATTAACATATGTCAAGTGATAAAAGCTTAATACTTATATAACACACGATGAAATCATCGAGTGAATGGAATAAAATTTTGTAAGATTGCAATGGAAGGTCACCACCAAATGAATGAATGAGTGCAACTTGCAGTTAGTTGAGTTGAATGAACAAATTGAGCGATGAAGAATGAATCCTTTTTTAACACTCATTTGTAAAATCCTACTTCATAAATAGTGAAAGAAATGAAATATTCACAAAATATAAATATCGTGTTAAGCTTAACTAACAACTTTTGCTTTATACTGAATATTTACTGAAAATTTCACAAAATTTAGAAGCATTGTTAAATCCTGATGAGCTTCCGAAGTAGAGAACACAGGACATGTTAACCAACTCATCTGATTAAAAGATGGCTGCTATACATTAAGTGTGGAATTGCTTCAATGTGGATGTTTATATTATGCAGAAATTCCGGAATTATCACAGCTTATGAGTAAAAGACATTACATATATACACAATTGCATTGCACCCCCATCAGCCGATCACTCCTCTCTTCATACACTTCCCATATTCATCCTATCGGAGTCCATTTCTTTCACCAGATCTTCACTGTCTACCAGGTATTTGAGCATTTCAACTTCTCATTTCAAGTATTATAAGAATGTTATTTCTAATAATTATTTGTTGTTTATCATCCCTTATAAAAAAAGAATATCTTAAATACAATTAGTGATTCCATTGGTATGAAATGTCTGACATACTCAGGTAAACAAACATTTTCTACGAAGAATGTCTGTATTTGTTCCGCCTACACTGAACGCTGATCAGGAAGAGGGTCGACTATTTCGTATGCTTCGTCGTCCAACAAAACGAAAGTACAGCGCTGTACGCATCGTCAGCACTGTTTCAACTGGTCAGTTCGCTATAATATTAATTACTGATTAAAGCCTAAGGAAATCCCAATTCGAGATCTACATCATAGGAGATTCAATCATCTTTAACACTATTATACGTAAGGATCTACTTGTTAATGCAAAAATATACATCTTTTGAAAGCAAATGCACGTAAATGTACAAGTGCATCATACGCACACACAAACAAATAGGCTTTAGATCAAATAGAAAATGACGTTGCTAGATACTGTTAATGGCAGATGTGCTTATCATCATCGCAAATATTGTCTTTAAACTTTACAAAAGCAACTTATGAGTCGATCGTAAGTGCCACCTGCGTTTCTGATTCTCTCTATGAAAACCATTTCCAAGTAGTGAATGACTTCATAAAAGTAAGGACACACAAAGGATCATAAGAGTAAGGCTACGATACGTTCAGGTTTTAAGGTTTTAGTTCCTACATTTTGCAGTTAGTCATGGGACTTGTTTTTTCAAACCTTTTTCTTGACTTCGCTACAAATCATCGAAATTTCGATTTCTATTGTCATTACATCATTCTTTATGAGTTAAGTAGTACTGTAGAATTTATATCTTAGCTGGTTTTCGTCCAAGAGGTAAGATATAAATTCATATTCTTTATCTGAAACTTTTTCGCCTACTTGCGATTCCTTCTATTCGAAAATTCCAGCAGCGAATAATATGAAAGTATACTTTCCAAACATTTTCATGAAAACTGTTTATTGGAAATATTGCCGAAACTTAAACTATCAAGCTGTTACAAAGAAAATTATTTACGAAGTTTCCATCAACAGTCAAGTTAGATATTGGTTAATATAAACGACTAAATAGTTGTAGGCTTTATTTCGAAAGCTTTTTACTGGTCCCATCTAATACATACTTCAGTTAGTGTAAATGTAATGTGGTGCGTAAATATTACAGTATAAATAACTACACTCATGAAAAACGGATTACGATCTGTGTGAAAATCATCTCTTCCCAACTAACAGTTTGCAGAAATACCTTTTACAAAACATTGTAGTGAATTTCTGTTATTGTTCGGTGAGATAATCAGATTCATCCAAGTTCAGAAACATTGAAATAAGTAAATTAATACTAAGAATAATTAAAATAGACGGATTAGATAAATGAGTTTATGAGTTAATGAGATGATAATTAGATAAAAGTAGAAAGATACTGAAACGAAAGGTGCCACATAAATTTATCGGGAATCTAAATTAGTCTGATGACTTATCCTTAAAGAACAAAAGCAAAAAAAGAAAAAAATGAATTCTCGCTTTATGAGCAAATTGAAATAACGTATCGAAAGAAACTTTCTTTGAAATTACAACTTAGAAAATGGCAAAGCGCTTAACTATATATTTTCATGATAATTTCAGATTCTTTGTGATAAATTTTAATGTAATAACATAATATTTCAGATTTTGTGAAAGAGTAACGTTACTTTGCATCAGTCAAACATACTGCGCTAAAAGTTAAAGATTTTAGCGCAATATATTTAACTGAAGTTAATTATTTTCATCTTAATAATTAATTTTTTTTTTTTAAATTTTGCCTATGAATATATGAAAACTTCGTGTTATTTTAATTGTTCAAATTGTTACTGTTAAAGTTTTAGAGAACCAAAGAACGGTTCAGTTATGTTTAGCTAAATTTAAAAATTTAGCCTTCCCTTTACATTTTAGTCTTTACACACATGAAAATTTTTTGGAAAACAATTTGTGATTATTAATTTAAAAGAAACAAAGAAATATTGAACAAATATTTTTATTACTTGCTTTCATTAATTCTTCCCATTGGATTTTTTTTTGTCTTTAAATGATTATTTTTTGTTTTTAAATATGATTTCATCTTTTAAAAGCTCGCAATTCCGCTCTGATTCGGGAAACAGAATTAATTATGAAGTTTTCACAGAAATATTGAAGCTCATTTCTTAAAGTAATTCATTCTTCTAAAGGAAAATAGAAACCAAAAGTTGACGATAATGGACCGATCATTTGCAGAACAAAAATCATAAATTGAAGTTTGATCGATAAATGGAAAAGTTATGAAATACTTTGTATTTTGGAAAATTTATATTTATACTTACAATCCGTACGATTACCGCAATGTTTTGTTTTACTGACAAAAGAATAACTGTATAAATGAAAATGAAGCTAATAAGCCATTTTCTCCCTTGTTTTTTGTATTTAAAGCGGAATATCTAAAAAAGAAAAATAAATAATATAATAATTTTTATTTTCACTAAATTTTTGTTAATTATTTTTCACATAATTTATTCTTTTTTTTCAAAAATTGAATGTGTTTTTGCGAGAAAGCACAATTTCTTGAAATGTTTATTTGCTGCATTGAAAAGGAAAAGAATTTCTCTCATAAAATGATAAATTCTTTGTTGAACTATTTAATGCTTACTTGTGCCAGCTAAATTTTCCCATCATCTTATTTTTCATTTTCAGAGGAATTCAACCCTTTAAATTTGAAAGTAATATTCTATCACTTTGCAATGATATATTTTTGTTCTGATGGATTAATTACGAATGCTGCTATTTTATGGAATAGAAAGAATTTTCGATTTAAGACAGAGACTTTTATCTCGAAAAAAAAAACTGTTTTGTCTAATTTTTCAATATTTATAATTTCTGTGGGTAATATTAATTTTCAACATCCGTAATTTCATGCTCAAAATATTTGCAAATTCTGCTTTAAAAAATCTCAGCAATTTTTTGTGTGAAATACTAAGTGACATATCTATTTAAAATCACGATATCATGTGTTTTGCCATAATATTCCAGCGTGCATGAACCATCGCTATTTGCTATATGAATTTTTCAACTTATAATTTCAAATTTGAAAATGTTTTGTTTTAATCAAAATGTGTTACAACGAATGAAAAGTTAAAGCTCTAGCTGTAATTCACGTCGTTATATTTTAGATTCTAAAAGATCTTGAAAGTTTGTTGCTCTGAAATTATTTTAGTCTGTTACTCTGAATTTAAAATCTGTTGCTCTGAAATTTTGTAAGAAATAAAAAGCGTTAATGTGCAAAGTATGAGGATTAAATTTATTGTAAATATTTTTGAAAAATTTCCCTATTTAAGGTTTGTTCAAAATTAGGAAAATAATAACGTAAATGCTTGAAACACTATCTCTCACATTACACTGTTAAATGTAAACTCAAATTAATTTGTTTTTGTTTCTATGAACCATCAATCAAGCAACTATGATTTTACATTGGCATTTAAAATCAATCCTTGAAAACGTATTTTTGAATTTTTAAATTTGATGGACAAATACATTTTTTTGCACAAAAAATATTAGCAGACTAAGAAGATCATTTCTTAATTATTTTTCTTCGACTGCTTGAGAGTGGCAGATTTCATTTTTCGCTGATCCGTTTTTTGTCTAGCAAGAAATAGAATTTTAAAAGTTTATTCATACTATTGAAACATTTTTTTAACGAAGAACCGCATGGCTTCATGCTTATTTGCTACAACACTTTTTGTTGATTAAAAAAATGTATCTTAGGATCGTTTCAAATTACTTTTTTGATTCATTCTTTTGTTCAAATGATCAAAATTTAACGGCAGAAGAACCCGAGAAATATCAAGCTACTAATTAAAATTTCTGTGCGACATTGTTAGTTCTTCAATTTTATTTTAAATATTATAGCACCTCTTCTGAAAACGAAAATTCCTATTTCTTTCAAGATTGTAGCATAACTTCTATATTTAGTAAATTGATGTTAACCACTAAAAAGTAGTTTATTTATTTACTATATAGAATATTTTTTAACACGTGATAATGCGGGAAAAGGTATTAATCTGATAGTATACTATTCCCATTATTCAACGCAATGATTAAGAAAAACCTGTTTATTCATGCCAGCATTTTTTTTTCTTTTGACAACTCTGTGCCGATATCATCAAACATAAGCAATATGTTTAAGAATCAATTCCTCAGAAATAAGATCAAAGGTTTTCTTCCATAGATCGACAATTCTTTTACTTTGACTGTTTCTGATGTATCACATAAACAAGTATGGCTGATAACTTATCATGCTGTATTCAATTTAAATATCTGAATTTTCTGTCATTAAAGACTATGTTTAATAGAAAATAATACAATTCGTAGTATGCACTTTATAGTATAAAAGATAATTATTTCAGAAATTTTTGTAGTCTTATACTCCAATTTTGCTTTCTACTTATAGTTCTTTTTTTTTTGTAAAATACGATTGTTACGCTGAAAAACAATTAAAAAAGGTAGATTTTTATAAGCTTTATTGCTATAATATTAGGTTAATGCAATACCTCTCCTATACATGTTGATGAAACGGATCAAAGGGAGAATGAATGAATGAATATGATTAATGATGCTCATATAATAGATATATCATAATGTCTCATTTCCTTCTAAAAGGATTTCGGATCTACTTTACTACTAGAAAATAATATCAAGTAATTGTGACGAAGATAGTTGAATTATGGGCAGCTAATAAATAAAAGTCAAAAACAGAAGGAAGATATGATGTGAGAAATTTTTTATTTGAAACATGAATTATGCAAAATAAAAAAGTCGCCTATAGTATCTTTGAGGAAGTATTGTATTTCTTTTTTCTGAATTTTCTCATACTGTTTTTACGTAAGTGATAAAGCTTAAAAAAATAAATTCTTTTTCAACCTTTCAATTTTTCAATTTACATAAGCAAATAAATAGCAAGCGTTTCTAAAATTTGTTTCTCCATATTTATGGATTAGTTGGCATTGGATTGAACTGCCTCGTTGCACTCATAGCTGTCGTTTAATCCCTCATTTCTAAAGATGTGACGTCGGCTCTATTATTTGAGACAAGTTTGATTATTCAATTCTGCAAAAAATAGAATGATATGTATAGTTGGCGTTCCGTCTGTTGCCACTCTTTCAGGCTTCATTCTCATATATGAGTCGTGTCGCGTTGTGAGAGCATGCGTGTTGTATATATATATATATATATGTCACCACATTACTGATTCCAAAAACTGGACTATTCTGATAGCCTTCTCAAATGATTTTGAGGAGAACCGCCCATTTCACAAAGTTATTACTGACGCTACTAATAATGAATAACCTCAACGTTTTAAAATGCTCCTAAACTATGATTTATTCACAAGTAATCTCCAATGAACGATTCAATCCCGCATTAGCTTTATTCAAAACAGCCGTTCTGATCCGAACAACAGTGGGTATTCAGCACACACAGGCCATTTCTAATGATTCACATAACTTATCACGAAGTTCCGAACGATCTCATGTTGCTTATGTCAGAGGTACCTTACTTTCACTTTCATTCGTTGTCTATGTTTACGCTTGTTCACATTACAGATTGTAACTTGTTATAAGTTTTCTGCAACTTCAACTTGCCTAAACAGTTTGATATTAGCAGTAACAATTTACTTGAATTGATTTTGACATTAGTAGCAACAGTAATAGTAATAAGTGATGGCGCCCGATCATTTCGCATTATTTTAATGGATTATAGCTTAAATGACAATGGCAGAATTTTAATGCTTCCGGTTATGGAGAAGATAACATTATTCAAAT